AAAAAAAAAGTGTCACAGTTGAATGAGTGCCTCTGCATGATCTGCTACAATTACAGCTCACAATCTCCTCCAACAGCAAATATACCACTTAACAGACATATACCACAAGTCACAATGAGTAAATTGGCCTTTGCATGCAAATACAAAAGCAGAGAGGGAAATAAAACTGACTTAAGTCAAAGCAAAACAATTTGTGGTTTAGTAATTTAATTTGTAAATCCCTCAAAGAGTGAACTTGATTGGAGTTAATGTTGTTCAATATTTGTTAATGTTTAAAAGCTGTCTCTACCATTATCATCCACATACAACTGTCTTCCTGTGGCAGTATCTGGAAAATAAATGAGACAGCTGATGTGACCAGGATCGAGTTGCATCACTTCCAGTGGTCTGATTGATGCTTTTTTTGAATGTTTCCAATACACTGAAGAAGAATTGAAATTGTTTATACATCTCTTCTAGGCCATCTTTACACAATTTTTTACAGAACTGTTTCCCACCAAAGAATATAATAAATAAAATGTGTGGGCAAGCACACTATTCAGTGTTTAAGCAGACTTACATGGATTTCCACTGGCCAAGCTTTAACGATTACCATGCTTTTGTCATGTTTATGGGCATTTATGTGAAAAGTTCTGCGAGGAGAATCCTAATTTAATTCTGGAAGAACTTCTCAGGCTTGGGGGGGGGGGGCAGAGGAAAAAAAAATTTGATTACAGTACCATATCCTACAAGCTGCGTCATGAATGTCATTAACAGTTGGTGAAATCACTTTAATGCCTTCAAAGTGCAACTATTGATCGCAGTTGGTATGAAATCAGAAAGTCTCTGATGTCTTTTCAAAAATGCCTGCATATGAAAAGTGCTGTGCTGATGTGGCACGATTCCCATTTTGGTTCGAAAGAAATCCATGTGAACCTACTAATTTAGTTCACTTCCAACGGCCCGTTTCCTTTTCGGTTATTAAATCCATGTGTCTAGTGAACAGTCTGTGTAGTAGCTCACACACTCTCTGTGCGAGTGTGCGCACATGTGTGTGTCATGTTAATGCTCTGTGTTGGAGTTTTACTTTGGGCTCAAAAGGATAGCTCGACATATTTGCTGATACCACTGTATGCTAAATATGCAGCCGGAGCCAACAGTCGGTTAGCTTAGCTTAGCATAAAGACTGCTAGCCTGGCTCTAGCCATCCAGCACCTCTAAAGTGCACGAATTAGATGTTCTATTTCCATAAAATAGTCTGCCACGTAGAAGGCTGTTTTCACACTCTAGATCTTGTTAATTAAAAACCAACTTGTTAATTTAGACGTGCTGGTAGCTGTAGGTGGATTGTGCTGCCCTAGAGTGCCAGGCTAGCTGTTTGCCGTCTTTAGCAGCTAAGCTAACTGGCTCCAGCTACATATTTAGCATACAATGAGGGTGGTATCAATCTTCTCCTCTAACATGAAAGCAATGAGCATATTTCACAAAATGCTTAACTATTCCCTCAAGGGGAGTCATTAGTATATCCAAAAAAAGAAAATTCGATATAATATCCATGGAGTTCAACATGCAAAGATAATGCTTTCACCACTTACTTTCCACTGCCAGCTTTAAGTATCTTTATGATAAATGGCATGGTATCAGATTTGTGCAATGAATATAAATCTGACCAAATAAGTCAGTTTTATGACATTTCATAGTATAAGTATTTCACTTAGCCAAAATAGCTTTAAGTGTAAGAGAGAGAGGGAGACAGTGAGTGAGAACGGGTGGAGAGAGGGGGGGTTGTTAGTTCATGAGCTGGTGGCCCATCTGGTTTGAGTTACTGAAACCCCCCCCTCCTCAATTAGACTCAGCATGATGTCAATAAAACGTCAGACTGGAGAAGCTATCACCTAAATTGGGCCTGTCAAGTATTGTTCTTTCCTCAGCGTTCCAGCAGGGACGATCAGTCTTGAATGAGTTGTAGTTTGATTAAGGTTACCACAATGTGCCATTTCTGATTCGATATGGACACTTGGCTTAAAAATGTTGCCATAAAAGTTGTTTGCCTATTACTGGGGATATATATATATATATATATATATATATATATATATATATATATATATATAAATGCAGAAAAAGAAATCTAATGGTATTGAGTAAGAAAAGTTAGTTTCAGCTTTGAACAATAATTTTCCATGTCTCTCCTCTTAGTCCTTCTCAACATTCTGCTTTTATTTAACAAAAGTTTTGCCATCTAACCCCCAGATTTATGCCTGAATATCAAAGTTTATACCACAGGGAGGTTTGGAGAAACAGTGGTGAAACATTATGTTTCTCCTCTCTTATTGCAAAGCGAGTTTATTAGGAGTTCCCTGGTGCTCGCGGCGGGAGTTTCCCAACAAGACCGTCTCCGCTGTCCTACTAACCATGGATTATCCTGCAGCGCCTATAGGTGCTGATAGCCAGAATAATTAGCGTCATTTTAGATTTGCATCGATTGCGGGTATGTTTCCACAGAGAGTCAATCTAGGACCTGGAAAAACGGCGATCCGTGGAAAAGGTCACACATTCCCAACCGCTCCCAGTGGGAAAACAGGCGAGTCCACACCTTCTCAGGAACGCACAAGCCTACTACCCTCAAATCTGACAACAATTACCACATGAAATTTGGCATATTTTAGTGACGCTTTTCTGCAGACCTCCACTCGACGGTGCTCAGCCAGTCTGGAGATCATGTGTAGGCTATTTGGTATTTGTAACTGTAAAAGCTATCCATTTAAAATATTTTGGCTTCAACTAAATCCGTTGGAGAGCTCAAAATTCACATTACAGATGCTTAAAATTCCAAATGCAATGTTACGCGTGCTCAAAGCTCCGTAAATCACAAACTCTATGCCACTGAAGCGAGCCTCTATCAACAATACATCTCGAATTCCAATGTGTCTCACGAACACAAGATTAAATCAAGTGTTGAGAAAGTGTGACAGCCAAGGTTTAACAGCAGCACATTGAGAGCATAGACGACCCTCTAGCTGCTTCTGAATCGATGCCAGAGCGCTCTTGATGGTTGAAGAATGCTGGTGATTGCATTAATTGCTGTGCAGCAGCGGTCTGATACTCATACAGAGAAATAAAGAGGAAAACGTTCATACTCGTATGTTTCTATAGGAACCTCTCTAACATTGTAAAGATGTGGTCTTGGGTTACTGACAGCCTGTACGCTCAGCTTTTATGTTACAAGCGTGACTGAAACGGTTTGTGTTAAATTAGATTGTGTTAAATTAGATTGCCCCCCCCCCAATTAGATTGGGGGGGGGCAAAGTACTGGGAACATTTTAAGATAAATCACTTTATTGCTAACATGGCTAAAGATGTAAATCATATTAAGTCGCTGATTAGCTGAAATGTACTATAAAAGTCAGAAACGTACTGTTTCCCAGTCGGTCAACTTCATCTTGTGAATGCAATGCTTGTTTTCTGTTTACCACATGTTATCATGATTTCTTTTTTTTTTTGCACTTTTAGGCACAGACGACTTTGCCTTCTTGGAGCACAGTTAATTGTCTCCTATTGCGTCGAAACTTTTAAAACTCGTATCAAAGAGCTGATTGCCGGATCTCATTTATAGCCGACAGATGCTGCCGACTGATATTCAACCTTAGATGAACCGCTTTTGAAGCAGCATTTGTAAATAGTACCGCAGGAATTAAGTCATTTTCTATGTTTACATTATGTTGTCTAGTACCCTGTGGATAGATGGTACACACAGTATCTCTTTCATTGAGGACACTGCCTTGTTTATGTAGACTGCTCAAGTCACTTTAAAAAAAAGAAAGTATAAACCACAAAAAGTCTGATTGAAGGGTTTAGTAATTTAATGCTTAGCTTATGCATCGAAATAAATACAAGATTACCAGAATTCCCAACCAGGTTGAAGTTGTCAAAATATATTTGTTATTAGCAAGAGTTTTACAAAAGCGTTATCTTCTAGTTTGACATCCCACGGATTCAGACATTTCCTTTGGGAATTTGTCTTGATTTGCACTATATTTCATCATAAGGCTCAAAGATCTGAAGCATCCCTGAATGTGAATCCTTCTGTTTCAATCATAGTTTACCTGAACTTTTACTTTGTGAGGATCCTAGCAATGCACCACCATTTGAGGGTTTCAACATCCAAAATACTGCACACAAACATCCAAATTCTTCCTGTTTTGGCCAATATAGCACAGATGGGTTAACGTAACCCAGTACCCACCCATGGGTACAAAACTAAACAAGAGGGTTAGTCTTATTTTTTATATCACGGGATTTTCCTGTAAAACTGCCACAAATGTATTCTGAGTTGTAAAAAAATAATCATTAACAAATGGTGACATTGAAGTTTTAATGACACTTAAGTGATTTTATGTGAGTTAGACAAACGTCCAATGGTCTTATGTGTATTTAATGTGTCCACTGTAGACGTGAAGCAATCAGTCAAACATTACAGTCTGTGACGTGAGGCTGGTACTGATTTAGCTGGTCGTGAGGTTGGTGCAGAATGAGACGTGAAGTTCTCCGTATGTCAACAAGGTGAGCTCATGGGAAGTCCCTGATTCTCCCATGTCAGACAGACAGAGAAACACATTTTCTCCAGCTCTGGCAGCTCAGTCACAGGCCTTTTTTTCTTTTTAGAGGCTTCTAATCCTGGCAGGTCCCTGTTCTGACGTCACAGGGCCCTCCTCCCACCCCTCTTGTCTGCCGATGTGCCTTACCCACACACTAATTTCCTCCTGAGCTCACGAACGCCAATCTCTGCTCTGGTCCTCTTGGCTTCTGACGTCTGAGCGTCAGATCAGAACAGACTGCCTCATCTGGCCAGCTGAGGGGGACAGGCTTTATAGAAAGGCGGTACTAAGTGAACATGTGGGACGGTGTGGGTATGAGGCAGCCAACCAAGAGCCCTCCACTCCCCTCGTTCGCTCTTCCCCACTTCCCCTGTCTCTGGGAGCTGCAACATGTGACCAGGAAGTGTGGCTCCCCTCCGTTTCCCCTTCTGACAGAAAGGAAATATTGTAACAGAGGGGGGCGGCGCTGGGCTCTGTTACGTAGCTGGTTAAAAATAACTGGCATATTTAAGGCTGCAGAGGAATCCCAGGGCAGGCAAAGGCTGGACAGCCTGCCGCCCGGCAGGAGCTCTCACTTCCCTCTCAGTCGGTTGCTCCCTCTCTCCGCTTCCTCTTCTTAGTCCAATATTAAGCCCTGAAACATGAGCACGACCACCGTCCCATACCTCAACCACATTTTCCAACGCCTGTGGAAGCCCACCACTGAATTCTATGATGTGATGAAAGCTCAGTGTTGGTCTGTTGCATCCCAGCCTGACCGCAGCCCTGTCCAGCTATAGAGGCTCGGCTGGGATTGTCCAAACAAACAACCCTCACTGACTCAGACCTCATCCATATGCATACCATCACACAGCAGAACTGTCAACCAGCCCCGTCTGTCAGCATATGGAGCCCTTTAGAAAACAAATACAGAACTGTTTTGTCATAAGCAAATTTCTTTTCACTGTGATGATTTATATACAAAGCTCCGTTTGCTGGTGGATGTCTGGACCGCAGTAACAGGTGTGGTGAACTCTTGAGGCCTAAAAACTGTGTAAAACTGAACACCGGGCCTGAATCCATCAGGTGTTTTTAGATCACAGAGCGTTTTGGGATTATTGTGAATGAAAATATTACAAATAAAGATGCAGACATGAAATAAAACAAATCAGAAATCTTAACATGTAGTAGTTTGTAGAGCTGAAACTATGACTCAGTCAATAGACACAAAATGAACTATTTTGATAATCAATTTTTTTCCAAGTATTTACTGCTTCCAGTTTTTAAATGTGACAGTTTATTGATTTTGCTGTTTGGCATCGGTTTTAATTGCTAATCTTTTTGGCGTTGGGCTGTTTGTCAGACAAAAGAAGCACTTTGAAGATGCCTGTCACTATGGGCTTTGAGGAATCTTGAGACATTTTTGCAATATTTTCTGTAGCCTAAACTATAAATCTTTAAAAAAAAACAATATTGCAGTGGAAATTTGTCAGCATCAACAGCATGGTGTTCATTATGAATTTGGAATGCCTGAATATTGATGTATGAGCTTTGAACAGATGTTGGTATCAAATATAAAGGCAAAAGGAGATGTTTGATAGTGGACATTAGGTGAAATTACACGTTTTATTGAAAATAATAATAGTGGTGAAGTCTTCAAACTACTTCTGAGAGGAGGAATTATGTATGCACTAAAACAGAGGGAAATCCTATCACAATTAGGCCTGTAGTCGGTGCCTTGTTGCTGAGCTGCTCGATGGTTCTTTAGCTTTACACTGACGCAAAGTTCCTACATATACAATTGCATTCCAGTTAATGTGAGGTGGAGTGGAGGGAACTGCAGCACAGCGAATCCAAAAAAAAAAAAGCTTGACTCAGCTTTCAAGAATTAAGAAAAGAATGAAAGCTATTTTTTAATTACCGAACAGCATCTGGAAGAGAGCACTGAAAAACCTCAATATCTGGAGTTATGATCCGCTGGTACTCATATTCAATTGGGTGCTTTCCAGGAGGGGGAACTTCACTGAGGGACACCAGTGGAAACTATGTCAGTCACATACACAACAAGAGAGGGGGGAAAAAAAGCCAAAATACTTAAAGAGCTGTGCAGTTGCTTACTACTTTACATAACATCAATATTCACACCTGTGTGACTGGATCATCAACTGTGTCTGATCTCGATTTTGAATAGTAGCTTAACCACAGATTGTCAGCTGCACAACTACTGTTTAGAAAACATTTAACGTCTCAGCAGTCGAAACTCCCACTACCCCCAAGAAGGACACATGCGCTCACTTTTGAAAAAAGAAAGTGAATTATTCTGACAGTGCTTCTTCGAGTAGGTGTCATGGCATCCACATGTGATCCTCGCTGATAAGCAGAGAAACATTATCGGGACACTTGTTGAATTAATGACAGGAAAATGTGACCTCCTGAAGTATCGAGTTAGAACTCAAAAGTTAAGCTGGTTTATACAACTACATTACCTCAATCGCTCCACATCCGATTCTTGCGGTTATGCCGTCAATGGCGTTGACATAATGTCAATATCTGGAACTGTGTAACACTTGAAATGATTCACCGTGGGCTGGGTATTGCAGCTTCCATATTCTCAGCACTGCTTTCAGTCAATACTGTAAATGTGTATTAACATATCCCACACAAGGGTTTGGGTTGAGTTACCAAATTACCATGACTTCATTGTGTCAGAAAAAAACACACACAGCGGTGTCATCTTCTCTTCTTTTTATTTTTGTATCCTCTACTCCTCATCTCTCTGACATTATTGCGACGCGAAGCACCTCAGTTGTCAAAGTCAAGCTTTTGTTTTGAAGATCATTTTCAAAAACCATTATCTCCCACCATAAAGAATATGGCTATAATGACATGGCTGCCATTGTGTTCCTGCCTGCTGTCGGAAGCAGGCCTCCAAGAACGAGACATGCAGTTCAAACATCGTAGGGTTAAAGGCACACAATTGTAGAGGCACGTTGAAGACAACACACGTATTACTGTTTGATATATTAAGAGTATCGACACTTAATCTAACCAAACAATTTATAATGAGCTGCCCAACAGAATATGCTTTCTATTTACAAAGTTCCATTGTTGTCCTTATTTTTTCCTAGCAGTTTTTGTTTGCCAACCAAAGAAACGTGCATTCATGCAATTTAAACAGTGAATGAAGAGACCAACCAACAGTGACGGTAATTGTGTCCTGTTAAAATGTCGAAATTAAGTTTGTTGACATGCCTGACAGACAAGATCCTGATGCAGCAGGATCAGTGGCAAGCTCTTTGTTTGCTCTTGCACTGAACTCGTGAGTCAATGTGTCTAATTATGTTGGAGAGAGAGAGATTTGTGTTAGCTCGCTTAGCTCTGAGCAAACACTGCCTGAACCCAATTCAAACTCAACACTGAACACTTCTCAGCATTTCCATTTTCCCAGGTAAGGTAAGTTTTATATGATACTACGATACTGTAGTGTTGCATTAAGTCTTTTTCATAGGACTTTTTTTTTGTTATTGAGCAAGAGCTGCGAGGGTGGCCAATAAATATTGTTTAGGGCTTGATTAGGTTTGCTTTCTATAACATTTTTGCCTCAAACACCTGTGTCAAGAAACAAAACTAAAATGTAAACACACAGCAGCCAAGGTATGGATTATTATGCAGATTAGACCCACAGTTTGTCTACATCTATAGATGTATAATGTAGAAATATAGGCTTCTTGTGCTGCCTGCTAAATTCATCTTATCCCTAATTGTAAAAGTAAAAAAATATTGTAAGAATATAATTATAGAAATGTATTAAAAGATTAGTATCATGCTTTATAATTGCGTGCATGCCTTGGGTTGACTCCTACTGCAATCCAGTGATGTAATGTAAATACAACACTTTGTATAATTGCCTGTAAACTGTGGGGAAATAATTGCACTCACCTATTATCACTTGCAGACAAACAAGTGTAGCAAATAAATGACCAGCAAAGTGTTATATTAGTATTCATTTTATTTTTTTAAGGAGCTAACTAGCCAGGTGCTTTTCATCCAGGTGATGGCCACGCCTGCAGGTGAGGTGACCCTCTGTAGCGTCTCAAAGATGCGCTTCTCACCCACGTTTCTCAGGGATAACAGCAGCAATGATAGGTACCGTTGCTATGAATACAAACAAACCTCTCTCTCCCTCCCTCTCTCTCTTTCTCTCTCTCTCTCTCTCTCTTTCGCTTCCCCGCTCGCACCAGCCTCCCCCCACGTGCTCCCTCCCTCGCACCAAATGTTTTTCCGAGCTTGTTGCTGCGCAACGAGGGCGTGTCCAGCAGTTCCGAGTTCCTTAAGGATACCTCTCGCGGTTTTCTCAGTTCAGGCTGCCGGTACTCGCATGGCAACAGGCGAGAGGGGTTCCCCCGTACGTCGCCGCTCTGTCTTGCCGAAATAAAATTTAAAAAAAATCAAAAATTCAAACCTTCTGGCTGCTTCCACCCGGCGCGCCCAACAAGCGGGAGCATGTACCGGGATGTAGTATAGCGCGCGACGCGGAGCAGAAACTTTCAATCCGGGGACATTGAACCCAGCGCAGTAACGCACCCGAAGAGCGGCCGAAAGGAACTCCAGATTCTCATTGATGAGGTGTGGACCTTTTGACGAACTTTCCCACAACAACATTGTGACTGATGCACACATCTGCTCTGTGGACTATAACAGACCGCAGTCGCTGTCTCCGGATCACCACACGCAGGGATTTACCACCTTTTTTTCTGTTTTAATTTCAGGCAACCTGCAAATGACGTCGAGATGGCTTTAGGTGGCACGCTTCTGCCGTCCATATCCACGTTCGCCAGCGGACCCTCTGTCAAGAGTAAATCCATTGGAAATGCCAATTTAGTGAGTAGCCCGTGGTGTCTTATTAATCTTTTTGCATCATGCCAAATAGCCATATGGGCATCAGAAAAATATGTAACCTGTGTAGTTTATTTACGGTGTAGTTGTTTTGTGTTATTATGGGCACAGTCGGGGCTTGACACTGTGTGCTCTTGCTGGGGCGTGCACCAGCTTACATTGACTACTCCAGCCGGTTTTTAGCGAGAATGGAGAGAGCGAAAGCGCACATGGGACACACCTCACCAGAAAACACCCCGAAGCGCACTATGATTATTAGTATTTTTATTCAGAAGGGGTTGTTCAAAAGTGTTTCTTACCCGGCCCACCACTAGTGGTTTCCAGTGCAATTTCTTTGCCAGTGAGAATAATCTGTATTCTAGGAAGTGCTTTGTGTCAAGGCCACTTGCCGCACCAGACTGAGCTCTGTGGCGGAGCTGTCAAAATAGTCACTCTCCATTAAAGAGGCAACTCCTTTCCTCCTTGAAGCATTGACTTATATGTGTATCCGATGTCATTATGTATTCAAAGCAAGCACTCGTGTTTAGTTTAAGGACGGTGTGACAAGTGTGATTTTTCTAAACAGTAAGGTGACACAGACAAGCAGCCCATATGAGGACAGTCATTAATACCTCTGTAACTTTCCTTAGAGATGGAAGGAGGAGTTGTCCCTTCTTAAGAAATCCAGTGTGCCAACCGGAAGCAGGGGCACTGATCCAGACCAGCCCTCTGCCACCAGCACAAGAAGCCCCAGCATGTTCAAGAAAGAGACAGAGCCGGACCTGGACTTGGACTACGACTTCATTCTTTCCAACTCAATTCTGCAGCAGCAACAGCAGCAGCAACAGGAGGCGGAGGCCATGGCATGCAGCTCTGCCCAGACCTTGTCTCCTTCCCCCAGCTCCTTCTCCTCATCTTTCCCTCCCCCCTCCCCTCAGGGAACTGCCAATGAGCTCCTCTATACCATTCCAGATATCAGTGACGTCTCGCCCTCTGGAGGCTTTGTGGCAGAGCTCATGAGAGCGGAGTTGGACCCGGCATACCTCCACCCCACCAGCCTCCACGGCAAGTTTGTAGTAAAGACAACGATGGACATGGGCGAGTACAGCCAAGGCGTGAACGTAAGCAAGATCTGCGTTACTGCCGTGTCGGAGCCGACTCCGTCACGTTCCTCGCCGGCCTTTATATGCCCCAGGATAAAGCAGGAGAACCTCGGTACCTGCAACATCTCGCAGCCCATAGACCAACACCTGGCTGGGGTGAACTCCCAGGGCAGAGGGAGCCAGCAACAGCGCCCATGCCAGCTAGAGCTACATGGCTTCCCTGGCGGAGGGAGATCCTTGACAGGCGGCAGATTATCCTCATCCTCTTCCCTCTCCCCAGACCATCCTCTGAGCCGGGAGCACCAGGTTCTGGGACACCCCCACTCTCAGATCCCTCTAACTCCCCAGGGTTACCACCATGGCTCCCCACAGGGCTACAGCTCCTACCCTCAGACACCCACCCTGCAGTACCAAGGTTAGAGCACATCTCTCTTTCTCACAATTCCGCCCTACTTTATATTATTTCTTGAAGTTAAATGTGGAAAAAAAAAAGCTTAACATGGAACAGAGGAGACAACAGGAATATCAAGTCTGAAGAGTATATTTAAATGCATCTCGTACGACCTTAAGGGATTTAATTATACCCCAAAACCAGCAGATCAAAAGGAGTGAAACCTACATCCAATGGGCTTGGGCAAAAAACCTTCTTTTCATCATAAAGTTCTTTAAACCAACCGAAAAAAGATACAAGACATTACCAGATGTGTAACTAAAGTTATGTTGTTGTTTTCATCCATTAGTAGTCGTCATCCATTGTTGTGAACTTTTGCGTTAACTTTTTACACTATAATACTTTTAAGTTATTTGAAAAGTTTTTATGAAGAAGCCTGATGTTTTCTTAAAGTTGATGACAGAAAAAAGTATTAAATTCTGCAACTCCTGCTGTGTCGATGCATCGGAAGTGACTAAGTTGCTCTCTTTACAACATGATCTGCTATGCAAACCAAGTTATGGGACCTGTGACCTTAATGCACTGTGTTATGTCTGATATATGTGTACACTGAAAATGTTCTCCCTACATGTGGCAACATGAAGATGACCATAAAATCCTTTGACCCCCCCCCCACAGATCCCCACATGATCTCAAGTGGGGACTGCTTGCCGGAGGAACCAAAGCCTAAACGTGGTCGGCGCTCCTGGCCGAGGAAGAGAGTCGCCTCGCACACGTGTGACTATGTTGGCTGTGGGAAAACGTACACAAAGAGCTCCCACCTCAAAGCACATCACCGGACGCACACAGGTATGTTACTGTGTTTCAGATGTTCTTTACAGTCGTTTAGTCAGCCATTTATATGGTGCCACGTGCAGGTATCTTTCGATACTCTCATGAAGAAGCATATTTTGTCTTTTTATTTAATGTTTAACAGTTTAGCACTTTTTTTTTTATTACTGTTTTTATTGTTAAGAGCTAATTACAGGTTTTATTCAAAACAAGCAAGTCACAGTGAATTACAGTCCTGATGGGGGTTAGATGAGTGGGGGATGGTGAAGGGGACTTGCTAGACAGGTGCAGTGACACAGGTTTAGACTGATCCCTGTTCAAATACAAGCCCCAGGCAGATTAGCTTGGTGTTCATGCACTAGCTGTTGGACAGGACAGACCTCTTTTCTCCGCAAGGTGGGGAAGGTTGGGCCAGTTTAACCTCGGGGCCGGCGCTAACTGCTCCATGTGTGTATTGTGTTTCCATCAAAGGGGAGAAGCCTTACCACTGCGACTGGGACGGCTGCGGTTGGAAGTTTGCCCGCTCGGACGAGCTCACACGCCACTACAGGAAGCACACAGGCCACCGGCCATTTCAGTGTGTGAAATGTGACCGGGCCTTCTCAAGGTCAGACCACCTTGCTCTCCACATGAAGAGACACTTATGAGACTTTGTGATGGATGAAGGATCCAAAAAAAGAAAGAAAAACAACATATGTTAGCAAGAACCCGGAACAAACTTGTGACCTACACTTTTTTACTTTTTTAAAACCATAATTTGCCTTCAAGCCGTTGTCAAGCATCAAGACAAGCTGTGGTGTTCGCGGCAAAAACAGCATTACTCCCTCAAGAGCCTCGAATTTCTCTCAAGACTGATCCCGTCTTCGCACATTGAGCAGGCGACTTGAAAAAGACCTCTCAGTCAGGGTGGTAAGCTTTTTATGAAAGGGACCAAACTGGAATTTGTCTTATTTAACTGACAAAACTTGGAGGACCAGGTGCCAACAACTTTTAACTGGAAATGTGTTTCTGTCGGGGAAACCAGGAGCAACAGACAAACATCTCCAGAGGCCTTAGACCAGCAACATGCCAATATAGGCTCTGTTATCAACGACACTGTTTAGAATACTGTATTAATAAATACATCTATATTTATATACACATTTCACCTGCAATGCCATTAATTTCAGGTACAATGTTAATTTATACAGAACGGTGCTCAGTGACTCTGAAGGTTTTTTTTTTTATCAAAGAAAAGGTACCAAAGATTAAGGACAATATACAAAAGGGTGAAGAATATGAAAAAGTGCCATATGGTTGTTTGTGCGTTTCTTGGAAACCCCTCTTCCACAATCTGACTTAAATCAGGTGAACGCTTCACTTTAGACACGGTGATGGCAATCTTCAATGCACTGCAGTCGCAAAGTGCAATAATTTATATGAGACATTCATATTTTTGTATTGAATGAGTAACTCTGAACAAATATTTTTTTGTTTATCGCCAAAATATGTAATATAATCATGAATTTTGTACATTTGTAAATAAAAATGCTTTGTTATTGTTTCGTATTTTACACTATAATAAAATGAAATGTATTTGAAATAAGAAAACTATAATGCCCTTTATACTATATCCATATCTACATCATTATCTCATTGAAGACATCACAGATTTCCCCGCTAGTGTAATGGAGAAGCACATTTAAATGGCAGCAATAGCTCACAGGCCGCTCACACACAGTATCCCCCCCCCCGATAATAGCCATATCGCCGCAGGGTAACTAACAATGTTGCCGTTAAAAGCATTTTTTATTTATTTTAACAAGCACTCCTAAAATGTCCCGTTTCCATGGGGTTCTCTTTCAACCTGTCAGTGGGAAGAATGGGGAGGACAACCGAGTTACTGGCTGACATTCAAAGTTGACACCAGAAGCTGAAGCTCTCGGGTGCACGATATGAATAAAAGCGATAAAGATGCTACAGTGAGATAGTGTCTTCATATGTCTCTGCTACATGTATCCAGCTACATGCATTTTTTCACAAAAAAAACTTTACAAACATGAAATCGGGAGTGACTTGCACATCATTGAAAGGAACCCTGTATAAAGGTGATGCTAGCGCTGTAATAATTGCGTATGTTTTAATGTATGTTAAAAGAAAAGGGATTTTGCGCCACAAAATTCTTTACTGTAACTATAGTGATGTTACAAAACAGAGGACATGTTTGCCGTTTATATATTATACGGTTAATCATTTTGTAGGAAAAGGATGGCACTTATAATTGATAAGTAATGTCAGTGCTTGATCTACAAGTTATTTATTCATTTAAAAAAATTTTTGTGTCCATATAATTCTACTGTACAGTATGACAACACTCCACAAAGTTTACATTCATAAATAGTACAAACAAGCCACAAACAAACATGTATTTCAACTTATTTCAAAAGTTGCCTTGTAAAAGATGTGCAACTATTGCATTACTTGAACTGCCTGTTAATAAACAGTTTATATGTTGCTACATTTACGTCCTACCCAGTAAACGGCATGTCTCTGATATTCACTTATTTTGTGGTAGACAGGTCACACACATCTTGTGTAGACAGTGTTTCACTTTTGTAAATATGTTGGCCTATGTTGCCCCCTATAGGTCAATTCCACTCGGGGCTCTTGTCATTCAGCTTCTACTCCTAAATCGAGCATTATGGGGCTTTTCAGTAACAAGCCTGAGGTACGATGACACTGATAAAGTCCACATGAAAATGAATTATTCTCTGTAGTCTTTAGTAGTAACTTGACACTTTGTAAAGTAAATTACGTGTGTGTATTAGACTACATGCAAGGCAAACTTGCCAATAAATTAGAACCAGGATCAAATCATAATGTAATAAAATACCTGTAAACATTATTACCCCCAAAAGTTATTTGACCTTCAAAGTCAACATGGCAGAATAGGCAGTTTATTTATTTTTATGTAAAAATGTCAAGTAATTGCAACTAAACCTTACCACGTGTTATGATGCATTGCAGTTGAGACTTCTTTACCCAGCACCATGCAGATGAGGGAGGTTGATGGAAAAAGAACCAGTGCCATACACGTTGTGCACAACTTTATTTCTTTCAAATCTCCATTACTTGTCAACTTAAAAAAAACAGAATAAGAGTGCATGAATACTGTCGGATGTATCCTGAACAAACCTCACTGATAATGTGACATACTGCAAACCATACTAACTAAAGTATTCAAGTAAATCAATAGTACACAGGTGATTTCTGATGCAAAGTTCTAGTGCTTTAATTGTTCCTCCATTTCGAACTGATCAAACAGCTGATAATGATCCAGTGTTTTAAGAAAGGTAAATGTCGAAGTGGTGAATAAATCTTTTTGTGTGTGTTTTTGGAAATGTAAAAGGCTTGTTGTACACATATTTAGCAATCAAAAAGAGGAAGAAAAAAAAAGTCGAGATGAAAATTTAATCATCGTCAAAGTTCTGTTGTAAAAGGAAGTTGGCGGCCAAGTTCTCGTTCTTCTCACATGCGAAGTAGGCTTGTATAACGAGTCCCTCCGGAAATCCTAAAGCTTTTAGCTGCAATTAGAGAGAAAACAGTTGCAAATTAGCCAAACAATACTTTAATAAGCAAATAATATTTTCTGCTTCATGTTGAACAGTCTCAACACCGTGAAAGATAAAAATCGTCAGAGTTGTGTATCGTATTCCAGCACATCTGGTAAAGCAGTACTGAACTTCCCGCTGAGAGGAAAGCGGTTGGTGACAGTGTGGTGCTCCCCCTCACCCTCTCAATGGCCTCTTTCTCCTGTGGCGTGACCTGGATGTAGCTCATGTGACTCCCGCCGGGTGTGTCCCCCGCTATCCCTCCGGCTCCCCCTGCTCCCCCACCTCCACTTCCTCCGCCTGCCGGCACTGCCTCTGGATTGGGTTCATTCAGCATCTGGATGAACTGCTCCTGGTGGCTGCTAATCTCCTACAGTGGTAAATGAACATTTTAGTCAAACTGAGATAATATCTTTTCAAACCTACATACAACTACTGGTGGAGTACCCCTTTAAGTGAACTGACACTCCAATGCCTAAACCGTGAACTCATTCAATCAGAACTGTGTCGAGGCCCCCGCCCCCCCCCCACCTGCAGCAGCTCCGGGTTCTCCCTGCCGATCTCCTGCAGCAGGGCAGGAAGCAGGGCGGCATTCTGCTGGATCAGCTGTCGCATCACGTGGAACTGCGGCTGATTTCTTAGGAAACTGAGGGGGTTGCCTGAAAGGATAAAACGATAGTCAGAAAGTTTAAGGCCCAAAAAAGAAGGATGATACCAGTATCAAACATTTGCTCATTGAGGCTGCTGAAATATGCCGACTTCTACGGGCCGCTTACCTCCCGCAGCACTCGGGGAAGAGCCAGTGTTGGCAGGAAGGCTGATGCCACCTATGGGTGCAGCTTGAACACTCACTGGAGGCACCACCGCCTCTGGGCCCGTTGCACGGCCCGGATCTCTGCCTGGAATACCCTGAAAGAAAAGTAACAGATATAATAAACATGGTGTATGGGTGCCGCAATTTAATTGATACTCAGGATTACTTGTAGTTCACTTCAGTTTAAAGTTTGTGGGTTACATAATGCCATGCACACATTTTTGGATTAGGCAACTCAGAAGTTTTTGAGAAGTGGTTATGGGTGGAAGATTTGTATAACCATGTCATGCATGTCACTGGCGGGTTAACTAAAACCAACATAACACTTTCCAAAGGCAATGTAAATTTACAAGATCCTGAGCAGGGATACTAAGCTCTATGATTGCCCCCAAAATACAGAGGTAAAATCTATTACGTTCCAATCCAGCAATTTGCTCGACAACACATTTGGCCTCAGACTTAAGACTTTCTTACCGTGAGCAGATACTCAACGGCTCTGTCGGGGTTGTTGAAGCTCGCTCTCAGAGCTGCTACCACCTGCTCCCTCTCGTAGCCCATGAGCATCATCTCGGTCACCATGGCGTCGTATGATGGGCCCGTCACTACAGGAACACACACACCAAGACAGATCAGTAGTGGGACTAAAGAGCTTTACAGTCGGTCAACAGCATCTTGTGGATATCCACAAGCAATAAGGTGGACGAAAGTTCCTGTATCAGATTCATAATTACATTTCTGTCGGATCTACAGATTCAGAGGCAGCCTTACCTAGATTTGAAACCGCCTCATCAATCAGGTTCGTGTTCGTTGAAGCCTCCGAGCTTCTGTAAGAGAAAACAGACCTTGGGTTAGGCGTGATCTGCACGTCGCTTCTCAACAGAAGACTCGGTGAAACCAGACAGAAAGTTAAAGACAAACATCTACCCATCTTTACCTGACGGGGGTGGAAGCTGGCTCAGCAGGGGAAGACCGCGTCTCCTCTGGTTTGTCGTCTGTGGAGGCTCGCTCGGATGTGTTGTCAGAGCTGGACGATGAGGCCGGAGGGGCTGCAGTGCTGGGAGCTGAAGTGGCAGGTGAAGGCTGCGGGGCGGCCGAGGCTGCTTTAGCCTGCGAGGGAATTTTTAAAAACGTGTCACTTTTCTGATGTCACTTGATGGCGACAACGGGTCATTGTACATAAGCAGTTGGCGGTGGAGAGAGGTCACAAAACAGACTCATATTTATAACATTCATGGGCATGCTGTACTATATTTATAGAAACTATTTCTAATTCACAAACCTTTGTCACCATGACCACCACAAAGTTCTTCTCATTGATTTTGTATTCTTTGAGAGCCGTGTCATCGCTGAGGACTTTACCTGTGACGAAACAGAAAAATTAGTCACCTGGCTTGAACTCTTGAACAACACGCAGAGACGGAACAATAGATGGTATCGCATTTCATCGCTGAATAGAAGGTTGTTGAGCAGTTTATCGCCCGCTTTTATCACCACGTCTGGTTCTCTTTGTTATATGTGAGAAGCCACTTTAAGTAGATCACACACAGCCCCACTGTATAAAATGCTACACAGAACCAGCAACATGTATTCAGCGTCCCTCGGCATTTGTCATGTTTGAGTGCTTTACGACAAAGGACAGGGGCATAATTTAGTCTGACAAAAATCCTAATTAGTACCTGGGTTCCCCAAGATTTACCTCCTATTGTTTTCAGAGTCAGACGACTGCAATGAAAGTCAGCTTGTCATGAAACACTGAAAACAAGCTGCAGCCTTTGTAGTTATCTGGATAACTTTTTCATTTGTCTGACGTGTTCTTTGGCAGTTTGTACAATATTACTGAGGACCTAAAATAACGGACACAATTAATCAAATTAAACCTCTCAATGCAAAAGTAGAACAAATCCAATGTGTGGACATGTGCATAACAATGCAGCAGCTATGATACAAACAGATGCTTACTTGTAATTACATAAGTTCTCAAGTTGACAAAATATGGTTGAGAGGGAAGCAAAAAAATTGGGCAACTTCTGCCACTTAGAGGCTAAATCCCTTGTTTACATCATTTTGTAAGAACATGCAGAACAAACAGCGTTTTAACATTTAATGCTGGATTATGAAGAGAATCTTTCAAATATGGTTTAAGAGTCACTCTCCCATCTCCATGTATAGTGTACACACTTTTATATTATATGTGAGAGTAAACTATTTAAGGAAAACTCAATGTAGGCCCACTAGCTTCAAGAACACTTTGAATTAAAGCTACTAGCTTTCATGATAAGTTTAGGCTTCCACTGACACTGAAAACGTTGGATAAACCAGGTGCTTCCTGATCTGAATGAGTCTTGTGTGGTTTGCCAGGAGACCTTCCCATCACTGTGAGCTTCACTAATTAATTGCTGAACAGTGTGATGACTTGCAGCACACAATAAATAAACACAATATCAAGAAATGTGAGGATTTAAAAACGGCAACATACCAGCATATATCAGTTTCAGTCCAGCAACTGAAAAATTGTCCTTTCCTTTCTCCTGTTCAATCTTCTCCTTTAATGTCTTCACCTGTGGAACAAAATGACACATTTGTGATCCATGTGTAATACTTTAATATAAAATTATTCAGGTTTCAACGCCACCATTTTCACTCAGCCCAAACTATAGCACGAGTTAGAAAATAAAGTTCAAAGTGTGCTTCATAAAACTGGAGTTGAACAGACGTACTGCTGGTGAACTACCAGAGAAACTATTTTAAATACATAATTCATATTACAGACTGAAAGCATAACGTCTTATTTCTAAAAACTAAGTTAACGAAACTAGAAAACTAACGTTAATTACGGTGCACCCCCCCGACCCCCTCCCTTACCTTAATCTGTCCATAAGTGGGCTACGGCTAAATGCTGACAATACAAACTACTTTTCCTGACCAGCAACGTTAGTCAATAAATAACGCTAATCTGTCTCAAGCCCAGTGTCAAACACAAGACATATTAACCGGAACACTTGGTCCTTCTAAAATGTACCCGTTGTGTTAACGCTGACCCATCTATCGATCGATTTGAAATGGTCGAAAACAAAAGTCCTCCGTTCCAGGACATACCCAACTCCCACTCCACCCCCTCTTCACAAATGCATGGTTTCAACTCTCACCGTCTCCTCTTCGTCGATGTCGATTTTGAACGTCTGCTGTTGTAAGGTTTTCAAAGTTATCTGCATTTTGCCGTCGGGGTTTGTCGTTTTATTATCCCCGGGAGTAGTTTAAACGTTGTAGATCCAAAGCAAGAATCTGGTCTGTTTTTGTTGGCTCATTACAAACTGTCAGCCGCCATGACTTTTCGCTTTTCTTCTTCTATGTAGGATATTTAAGCTACAGCGCTCCTACTGGACGGTTCTGAAACTGCAGCTGAAATCACCAATTTTACAGGTGTGCTTTATTTCGTATTAGTAGTTTAGTTAGTAGTAATCTTAATATATCCTTTATTCAAATAAGTCGCTATACCTCAATTTAAGAAATGTCCTGCATTCAACATTGTACTTATGTCAAATTATTATCAGCAAAATGTTCTTAAAGTATCAAAAGTAAAAGTAGGCTTCTCTCAGAGCGTTTTACTATTATAATGTTATTTTTATTGGATTAGTAATAGTGATTTATTAACATATAAGCAACACTTTATATACTGTTGGATAGTTAAATATTAATATAGGGCATAAGTGTTTAAATATATACACTCTGCAGTATAGTTTCTCCAGTGCACTTCCACTTAAAAAAAAGAATAAAGATAAATACCTGCAACACTACAAAAACGTAAGTATTAATATTATTATTATTAATAAACAATATTATGAGTTTACTTCTTAAAAAATATTTTATTGTAAGTTATTTTCACGAAACAGTGCATGGCAAGAGAGGGTAAATTATAAAAACAGTAGAAAAGCATACAGTAATAGAGAACAATGTTATTTTACCCTACTTGTAGTATAAGACGCAGACAAGCAACAACTCAATCCCTCAAGCAAATGCATTGCTAACTGGCTAACTGTCAGAAGAATCCTTGACAAATTTCACATTTTACGTCAACTTTAAATTGACGCATGATGAAAAAATCTTTTGCATTTTGCCTTTTGATGTATATGGGCTTTTTCATCATGTTCCTCTCAGAACTGACATTGGTGGAATAAACATGCTTCCCTTACTGAACTTCAGTTAGTATTTCAGGCTGTTATCACAATCCCAGGTCATTCAAGCAAGGAGACATTTCTTTCAATATTCAATATCATCCATCCAGCGCTCAGTATTCAGAAGCTTGATTGACTTCTGCCTCACATGCTGCACAGCAGAGAGGACTGATAATATGCTGGAGCTCAATGGGGTCTCTTCCCGTGGCCACTTTTCTCCTTTTTCTAATATCACTCCACCTCACTTTCTATCACTGTATGTGTGAATCTGTTAATCTTTCACTCCTCTCAACTGTCCCTCCCCGTTCTTCTAGCTCTCTTACACATCTTCTATCCTGACTTTCTTTTCTATCACTCCACTCGCCCCCTCCCCCTTCTCTCTTGTCATCCAGTTATTACGACAGGAGCTGTGCCCTTGCCTGCCTTGGCTCAAGCGTACGCTCATCATGCATTCCTTACGTTGCTCCACTCAGCAGCAGCAGCAGCAGCAGCGTCCTCCTTTCCCCTCTCCCCACTGTGGCTGTGCCTCTTGCTCCTGTCTCCAGGGGTCGTCAGTCTGCCATCGGGCCCCCTCTGAAGTGGTTGAGCCACAGAGATTACACTCTAATCCCTGGTGATTTGGAGATATTTTTAAGAGATGATGTTAGACATGTGAAATAAAGACTCGGTCCCTTCGAAAACAGACGGGAGAGGAAATTCACAGGACGTGTGTGAAATTGAGAATTTCAAAAGAAAGATACAGATAGACTCTTCCAAGTGCTGTTTTCTTTAGAGAGATACAGGGAGATGTTGAGGTAATGAAAAGACCAATCGGTGAAATATAAAGAGGAAGCATAGCCTGCTGATCTCAATGACTCGTGGTATTTAGGGCACGAGAGCTGCAGCATTTCATGCATGTGTCAGCCACACAAATAAGTACACAGCACACACACACAACTGGTATTTGCAGCGCGTGTGGTTTTGGTCAGCAGAGCTCTAGCTGGGTGTGGAGTAGAGCAAAGACACACAGAGAGAGAGAGAGAGAGAGAGAGAGAGAGAGACAGAAGGGTGGAAGGGTGTAACACAGAGTGAAGGCCACTGAGATGCCTTCTCAGCCCGAAGCTATTTCCTGTCGACGAGCTGCTGAGAGTATTATTGGATGTTTCAAGGGCTCTGTTGAAATGTTACAGAGGAAATCCTATATGTCACTGAAAATATGAATTATGTTGCACAAAAGCTAGAATAGATAACCAAGACATTTGGCATATGCTTAACTTTGGTCAATCATGTAGTTGCTCACACATTTAAATTACTCCACCTCCAGAGTTTTTCCACTGAGTATCTCCAACAACACAAAGGCTCAAGTGTTGTTGGTGTTCATCCGACTTTCCTTTACCGTATTAAAAAAGATTGATATGAACAAACATAGGACACATAAGACAGAGGAAGCAGGCATTATTACATAAAACAAGACAAAGAGTCTATGAGGCTGTATACTTTAGCAGAGTGATTCTTTGAGCTGAATGCTGACGTCAACATGGTAATATGCTCAGTGTCACTAATAACATGTTGTTTACAGGTGTGTTAGCATGCTAACATTTGCCAATTAGCTGAAAACACAAAGTGCAGCTGAAGCCGTCATCAGGTATTTGGTTATACATCAAAGTCTATTTGACCCGACGATGGTACAGGATAACAAATCAGGGGATCACCAAAGTTATTACAATTCATCCTCATGGGAACATGATCCAATAGTTTTTAAGACATTTTGCTTAAAATTGCAATTGTGACCGTCATGGTGGCACTACAGGAAAGGTCATGCGATCACCAAAGTCAATAGTATTCATCCTCTGGGCACCATGATGTCTAACAAACTTCATGGCAATCCAACCAATAGTCGTTCAGATATTTCCGTCTGTACCGAGGTCGAAGACCGACCCAGTGCCCTCCCCAAAGCCCGCATGGCTGAAAATCTATTTTTGCATTGACCTACTCATGACTTTCTCTGTCAGGTAAATGTAGTACTACAATGTTTTCCTCTGAAGTAGAAGTACACAGTACAGTTGAGTTGCACGTTTTTAGTGTCGAGTGTGAAGTTGTTTGTATGCGAGCAGCAACACAACAGGCCAAGCATTCGGCCCGTTCTCAACAGGCATGTTTTGCAAGGTCACGTCACTGGTTTGATTAAACTTGGTAATGTTAGTTTCTTCAGAAAAATAAGGCATTAAGGATGATTTGATTATAAAAACGTCACTTCGCCCTTGACAGTGAAGCACTTCACTTACTTAATTCTGAATTTGCTATTCAGGAAGCTTGCTTATCAGTGAGTTTTAACAGTTTGACATCTGCACTGATATGCATAATTCACTGATGTAGAGGGCAGCGGAAGTTACACTTCAGAGCCCTGATTTAATTTATATTACGAGTCTGTGCAAAGAAGAGAGCAACAAAATGAACCGTTATCTGATAACTTTATTATCAAGTTAAAAAAAGACAATGAATTACAATATTTACAGAATATCCAGAGATAAATGGAATAAAATTGTAAACAATCATTCTAGGCAACATCACAACCCACCATCAGGTAATCAGATTTAAATGGGAAGAAAGGCAAGAAGGAGAGAGTCTAGTGTCAAACTATGGAGACAACAGTCTGAAAAGAGAAGTTCATCGGAAACAAACTAAACATATATACAAGTATCCAGTGTGTTGTCAGCAGGGGCTAAACTTTGGGTAAACTGGGAATATTACAGTCTAGAGACTGCACACAGTGTGGGATCCATCGTCATTTTCTATTAAAATGATCACAGAACAACAAACAATTTTGGGTTGACAGCTTCATTACCCAGATTGTCCCAATTTATCATCTGGTTTACACTGGGCTTTCAAGCTGGGCAACAAGCTGCCTGAACAAAGCTTATTTCTACAACAACAGGTTTCAAACAGTTTTACTTTCAAAAAAGCTACACGCTGGTCCTGAAAAACAGAAAAAAAGGGCTTTGAGGTTCAGCACCAACTCAACAGTTTTTTTTTAGTTTTTTTTTTTAAAGGTATTACAAGGACTGAGGAGCATAGTGGGGCTGCTACATTCCCACCTCTTGATGTCTGGGTAGACTACATGTAAGGGCAGGACTATTTGGAGCAAGTTAGCTGATGTCCTTACTGGTCATGGATAGAAGATACTGGAGTGTCAGATGTTGGACTGGACATGAGTCAGCTAGATCTCAGAGGGATCAATAGGTCGACCGGCCAATCCCAGAAAAGGACCAAGCAGTTTAGGTAAACGCCCCTAACGGAGCAATTTTTTTTCTTGTCTTTTACCTTGCCATGTTTTTCTCCTTCACAATAAAAGCCCAAGCCATTAGATAATAAGAGAACTGCATACTTTTCCTTCATGTGTTTAAATATTGTACAACCACACTGCTCTTCCTATCTGCTCATTCCCATTACAGTACAGAAAAGGAGATATTTTTCATTGTAACCAGACATTGTACAACAGCGTAATAATGTTGGATTGGGGATTCAAAAAGCCCCTAAGGGTTAGATATCGCCTTTAGATTTCTTTTTTTTCTTCTTTAAAAAAAAAAAAATGAAAACACCTAAAGGAAAAAGGGTTAAAGCATCCTTTCTGAAACACCACGGTTCAAACACTTAACAAGTAGTTTTGTTTTCTATACATGGCTGCAAACGTGGTTCGCCTGGGTTACAAACCCAAATTTCCCGTTTCCATCACTGGTTCAATGCTCAGGATAGACACAGCAGCAAACACAGCAGACTTGGTAAATATTTTGGTACCAAGAACACAATTACATTAATCGTGCCCTTTTAAAAATGTTATATTGAAGTTATCAGCCATATCATTTCAGATTGTTTCATGTTGCTTATTGGTCTTATTGGAATTGGGCTTACATTTGACTTAATTGTTATTTATTATCTTATAAGGCTTTAGGGTATTCAAGCAGCAACGTTCAACAAATACAATCTCTGCCTTTTGTCAGTATCAACAATAACATGACAACTTTATCTAAAAAGAAGCACACATATCCAGGCTGTGACAGTTGTGCCAATACAGAATTTAAAGGAGTTTAAGTTGGGGGATTTTACACCTTTTTAAAAAGTCAAAATAGAGTACCAGTGGCAAATAAACTCGATTTATGTGGAAACCAATGATTTTAAGGTTTTCTGTGCTGGTTACACTTGTCTTTTCAGTGCATCCCATTACTACAAAACTGGACCACAGACTGTAGAAAAGCATATCTGTGGTGTCTGTGGCATCAGCCATACGTTTCTGAAGGGATGTCTTAAAGCCAGGATTTGAGTCTTATGCTTAATGCCAGCCTGTCAGTCATCTGTAGCCTAAAAATCTGAATTTGGGTGATATGGAAGGGGGCCTGGATGGAGTTGAGGTAATCACCAGGGCTGACTGTGAAAGACAGAGACGTCTGTCAATCAAGCAAACATGGCTCCAAACATAGCCGGTTTAGCATGGAATTTCATTTGTGGTGCTCACAACATTGAAAAACAACACACACTAAGCACACTTTTCCATAAACAGCTTCCCCTTTCACTCCGGATAATATAGTACAACACTCAGATCACACTATCAACAGTTTTCATAGGGACTTTTTGTTTGGTAGAAAGTAGTTCCAACAAAATTTACTCAATTGTTCTTAAATGCTGTGAGTAAAACAAATTCAATTTCACCTATTTCCCTTGAATCGGAAAAAAAATCTCAGAGACGGATATCTCAAGACTTTGTTTAAAAAAAGCAAAGCTATCTGCATAGCTAATTACCACCTGGGGTTGATGAGAATATATATATATATATATATATATATATATATATATATTTGTTTTGTAATCAGGTCAAACCAACACTTCAGGCCTCAACATTGTCTTTGCTGCTGTTTTTGCACTACCTGGTTCCATGCTACAACACATTTCATTGTACTGATACTCTGTGCAATTACAATAAAATAAAATCTAATTTATTCTAATCTGATTTTATTTTAACAATGACTGTCAGACTTGCCACTGAGGCACACATTAATAGAAGTGAAATTAGCTGTTGGGGCCATAAATTCTTGTGGAAAAGAACTCACAGAGAGATTGGGGGTGATTGCCTCGGTACTTCAAACTACCTCACTTTTTTTTAAAAAATCAATTAAGGCCATTAAGTGGCCATTAGAGGAACTGGATTCGTAAGGCACTTCAACACTCAGCCGTGGTGGTCAGCCTCGTCAAAACTTTGCATTTAATTGTCATTTTGATGCCCATACAGACCTGGATCCTGGCACATCACATTTGAATTTTTTTCACTGAAAAGACAAGTGTGATCTCTGTCTATTGATAATGATGACACATATTACGCCACTGTTATATCCACAGAGTTATGTTCCAGGCTAACTCTTGCGATGCTCAGTTTAACGGATACCTATATCATGGGGATGCAGTCATGACACATTAAACATATCTCTGCTGTTCTATTGATCTTCTGAGTGCACAGGTTGATGTTGTTCAACCTGGACTACAAACAACATATCGTACAGGGGAAGGGAGATTTTAACTAATCCCATTATTCCATCACGTGAAATTACTGGACAATGAAACGGTACAGTCAAAATGCGAAGGGTGCCACAGGCTGAAGGCTTATACGTAGTATAATATTAAGGGACCTAAAATATAGCAATTTGCTACAAACATTGGGGAAAATTGTCAGTATTTCTACGAATGAAGAAAACAGGATTTGTGTTTTTTTTTTTTTTTTTACTAAAATAGATAAGGTGCGATTCTTTCTCGAGGAATACTTCTACACACTTAACACAAGGCTAAGATGAAAAAAAGTCTCAAATTTCGACAAGAAACAAGAAACGGTAGCTCTACAGTGGGCCACGGTTTTAAATGCTTTCATATCGCGTTTGTTCCATTTGGGTACATTTACAGCGCCCCTGTTTTGGGGCAGCGTAAAAGGTGCTTCAAATAAAAAATTCAAAATTTAGTTAATCATTTTGGACATCATTCTCTATAAATAGCTCAGTTTCATCAAGGTGGGATCTGTCACTGTAGATTTGACCAGAATGTCAGCAATAAAGAGTTCTGTTCACTATTGGTTACCAATATATTAAGATCTGTCCTAGGGGACTGCCCATTTAAAGAGCTCAGCCGTTTTATGCAGCACAATCTAATACTTAAATATGTAACACCTAAAATCTAGTAATGCGCCAACTCATAAGAAGTCACTTTTTTTTCAGTTTCAATCTTTTTGTTTCCTTTTTTTTTACGATTCAACTCAGTGCTGATCCTACCCATGGTGATCAGTCTCTAGCATATTATCCCAACAGGCCACAATCAGTTCAACCAAACTGTTGATCCTTTTTGGTGTCGAGCATTGTTTTGCCTTCCACATACTGGCTCGGACTTCCCAGCGAGAGATCAGCGGGGTTCCCTTCCTCGTTGCCGTTGCTGGTCAGGTCCAATCCCGTGTCCATCAAGACAGAGGAGCCAGTGGAAGATGAAGCTGAGGCCTCTAATGCGGAGGTGGTGCTGGTGTCCATGTTATTGTTATTAACCACCCTAACGATGAGGGAGAGAGCAAAAATAAGTGCCTTTTACATGTGAAAAAATACGATTTTTAAATATGCAGATATATACTAATAAGACAAGACCACAGCCATGCCATGCATATATGGCATTGATTTAACATTTTCATTGGTGGTAGCACAGGTGCGCCTCTGACAGGTCTGTGTGTTTATCGTTATACAAAATACATACAAAAAAAATGATATATGCCATAATTTCAAAATGAATTCCAACCATCCAGAAGACGCCATCAACAATTCAAAATATTAATCTTTTACTTTGTTACCATCGTCTGTAGTGATTATTCACATAAAACACACAATCTAAATGATTAGAAAATAAAAGATTGTGTTTTTATTTGAATAATTGAAGATTGAGATTGAGAAATAGTTTAAAAAAAAAATACTAACATGCCGTGCCGAAGGACGTGACGCTCCCACTCGAGGCTGTCGGTGAAGCAGCGGCCACAGAACTCACAGGGAAGCCGCTTCTCTGCGCTGCTGGGCGCAGAGCTGCTGCTGCTGCTGCAGCTGCTGCTGGGAGATGCAAGGACCTCTGGGAAATAGAGTTCAAATGATTGGTCAGTCTCAGAATAGGAGCACAAGTGTTCATATTTGCTTCAATATATGAAAACAGTTGAAATATTAGTTGCTATAGTTTGTTTATTATCAGGTGATCAGTATTTCATACGTAGATATACATCACAAAGTAACAGCTCCTCTGTAGAACAGGGATGATCAGCATATCTTTTAGTGTGAAATCTACTTTTCCTTCAGTCAACCGATACCAGTCAAGTATATTTGACTAAGACTGTGGCTATTTTGGAAGAAGAAGACTGTTCATGAGAAAAAGGCGAGCTGAAACACATTTATAAAAGCACATGTATAGTCTGGGACTTCCAGTATTCTGGCAGTGTGATTGCTTTCTTACTTATTGGCCCATTCACTTGGCTTAAAATGAGACACTGGAGATTTTTCACCCAGATCACAATATTATGTATAATTACTGAGAACACGACAGAAAACGGCTTTTCAGCAGATACTCATTCATAGTGTAATCCCAGGAGGTTTTGTAAAGAAATGCGTTGCAGCGGTTAAATAGTCGTTCTGGTCTGTGCTGGCTGGGTGTGAGGTATATATTTGCTCTTTCAGCAAACATTAGTGGTTGTATTTGACAGTCAGAATTATATTGTCCCTTGAATATGGACCTTGTTAGAGTAAAGATGAATATGAGTAGATATCATTTAACTTAACAAAGATTATTTCATCTGCATTTACCTTGTAGGCCGGGCTTCTCCTCCTCCAGCCCCCTGACTTCCTCATCATCTTCTTCTTCCTCCTCCTCCTCCTCTTCCTCTTTGAAGTGGTCCTCTATTTCTTCATCATCTATCTCTCTCTGATCCTCCACTATGTTCTGCATAATCTCCATTCTTTCGTCGTCGTCGTCGTCATCGTCCTCCTCCTGTGCAGCTATTTTTCCATCTCCAACCATCTCCATTATTTCTCTTTCTTCTTCTTCCTCCTCTGCGCTGCTCCCTTGTTCTTTTACCATCTCCAGCTGGTCCAGGTTGACGCGGCCCATCAGCTCGAAGTTCCGGATGACCTGATCAGAAACAGGAGGTCTTATCAGTTTGGTGAGGAGTGCTCTGACAAGTATTTATCTCAAAGAACTCCCTTTTTTATGAGTTCTTTTTTCTTCAACAAGTGAAAGGGCGGACACAATAAATTACATTTATGTGTGTTTAGGTCTTCATTTTTCCTTTTTTTTAACAAAGTGAATTTCAACTAAAAAGTGAATACATTAAAACTTAACTTCGCTCAGACCAGGCGTGTATTTGTTTACTGTGCAATGCAGCATAAGAGCAAAACAATTAACAAAGAAGATGAAATATTTTGGTGACAGAACCATCTCATTTCATTGCATAAAGCATCCTGTTGCAAATGATGTCACTCTTTCTGAGCAATTCCCTCCTCCCACACTCCCTGAGGACTGCAGCATCCTTCCCAGCAGAGGCAATGTCTGTTCTTTCACTCCTCTTACCATGAATAGGCTCTCTGTCTCACCCAGAAGGAGCCCTGCTCTCTTATTGTTCCTTTTAAACTGCATTTCATCAATTGACAATAAAGTTTTTCCCGGATTGAAGGAAATATTTACATAACCTTGAAAAACAAAAAAAAAAAAAAAGATTCTGCGTTAGCCTTCACTGCTTTCTGGACTGTTTTTGACCTTCAGCAACACATGAAAGAACCAAAAACTCCTGCACACTGCCAATCACTTGGACTGACTTTGTTTATGATTTTCTGGTCCACATACCTTCATTACAATTATAATAAATTCATATAGACAACAGCATTGGTACCATATATGTAAACCTAACCAGGGAAAGAGGGTGCCAGCAGTATTGTTTACGTACCGGTGCTGTTTGTCTATTTTAATTTTATATGATGAAGGTCTGAGGATGGTAAATAAAGTGAGCACAAGTGATTGACAGTGCGGGTGATCCGTTCATTTTTGGGTTCAAATCCTACATATCTGTCTGATGTGCAGTAACTTTGTAGTAATTGTGACCTTGGTCTAGAGTACATAACATCTCAAGTAGCACCAATTATTTTTCAAAGGATGAACTGAATGAGAAAGGTATAATAGTAGTAATAATATGCACGTAAAAAGATACTGCGGTTCTTCTCTTCACAGTCCCTAGTGTAATCTAAACTAAAGCAAATTTCTTGATTTTGCAACCTCTTGACATGTGTTCTCTTTATTGTCTTTAAATGTACCATGATAATTAGGCTATCCATCCATTAGTCCTATTTCAGATAACACAAGGGATGGACCTTATCCCAGCATGCTTTGGGTGAAATTAAGGATCTATTAAGAAGTGAAAAACGATAGACATGTGCCCTTTTAGTTTAACGTACTCTAAACTTGTAAAATACCATCTGCCTTCTCACATCATCTCATAAATTACCCCCATTAGGACGGACTGAGAGACAAAACCTTTTCCCTCCTGGATGTGGTAAGAATATTCTTATGTTAATATTCACTTTTAAGAATTCTAAAACTTTGACACAGTTTCACACTCCTGATTGACTTTACGGCCCACTGCTATTGGAATCTTATAATAACTTCTCATATAATAAAGTTTTATTATACATGTTCAAGAAATGACATCACAATGAATGAAAGCTGCGATGGAATCATTGACAATGTTTTTTCTTGCCTAAATTCAAAGTGGGCTGATATGGATTTTAGTTTGAAACTGCTGCAATTTAAATGTAGCTACTTAAAGCATGTGTATCGTATATGGACGCCCTCTGACCTTGTGCTCAAGGCGTAGATGCTCCTCTAGCTGGCTCCGTTGACTGCTGTCGTAATAACAGAGCTGGCACTGGTAGGGTTTGATCTCGGCGTGCTTCTGCAGGTGCAGCTGCAGGTTCTGGTCACTGGAGCACGTGAAGGTGCATTTGTGGCAACGGAACACGAGGCCCTGCAGGTGGCGCGACAGCTTGGAGCGACTGACCTCCAGTGGAGCCACACGCTCCTCTGGTGGAGGAAGAGTGAAAGAGCAAACTGCTTTAATTATTCAGTAAACAAATAGCTCCACAATGTTTCTGCTGATTGCCTGGGAACCTTGCGGTGGAGACAAGATCCCAACAACTTACTGCACTCGGCCAAAAGAATACTAGCAATACCATTTCCTGTCTTTAAACTCAATCTCTTCATCTAACTCTCAGCAAGAAAGCAAAATACTGCAGCTAATGAGTCCCCAAAATGTTGAACTACTCCTTTAAAAGTAAAGTTTTCCATGTACCCAGTTCCAATTTGCATGATGTGTACCTCGGTGCAGGACAATGTGATCAATCATATTGCTCTTGTGTTTGGTGTGGTAGAGGCAGAGAGGGCAGCGCAGGTCTTTAGGGAGGTTGTCAGGTGCATTGTTGTTGTGACCGGCCTCCACATGCATGGTGAAGGTATTCCTGAGATGGATTCAGAGACAGAGAGAAGGATCATTTAACTATTGAGGGAAATGTATCCATATGTTACCGTTATTTTACATTAATAAACGTACATAGTTAATACATTTTGCATAAAGTCTGCAGCATCTAAACTCACATAAAACAGCCTATAGTATACAACATATCAGTCATGTTCCTATCTTTCTCTGCTGAAGTCTTTACTTACTTGTAGCAGGTGAAAAAGGAACAGTCTTTGCACTTGAAGAGCTTCTTGCCACCGTGGCGGTCCCTGTAGTGCCGACGCAGGCTCTGCATGTATCCAGAGCTGAACTCACAAAACTCACAAGTCAGGACGCTGTCTGGTCGATTGTCAGCCACTGTTGAGCCAGAAGACATCTGACTGCGGGATGCCAGCTGGTAATGACTAAGCTGCTGACGAACATCAGCTGGCTCCAGGTACGATGGATCTTAAGAGAGGGACAGAGAAATGAGAGAAACTTTGGAATCAAGTGAAAATGGAACAGCTTCTAAAATACAATGCATTGCTTTAGATTAAACCAGTGGTTTCCAACCGTTTTTGGCTTGTGGCCTCTAATAAACAAACAGCATCTACTTGGGGCCCCTTGCCATGTTCTAAGATGTTTATAAATTGTTAGCAGTTCCACCAAAGAGACATTTCCCTCTAAACGTATCACATGGTTTCATTTAAATGGCTGTTCGAGGCCCACTAAGGTAAAACTCTAGAGATTAGAGAAAAGTCCCAGAAGTTAATGCAGATTTATGTAGCTGAACTTTCTACTTTTGTAACCCATTAATCAACTCATGACCCCTCAAATTTATCTTTTCATCCTTTGGACACAACCCGTAGGTTGGGAAGCGCTGGACTGAACTACCCAACTGTACATAAAGGAGAAAAACCAGCTCCACTTCCACCAGCTACAACAATAAAATAGTCATTTAAAATTGATGCAGTATTAACAATCTAATGTCACATTTAATTTTACATCAGTCACAGGGGCACAGTACTTCTGGTTTTTTTTCATTTTCAATGCAGGCAGTTTAACTTCCTAATGAAGTACAATACTGTTGTATTGGTACTTTGACTAAAGTTTACGATCTGTGTACTTCATCCACCTCGTGTCTGGAGATATTTCTGATGAAGAAATATTTTCGCATTGCACAAACATGTGTACAGGCTACCAGTAAATTTGTACGTTCTTCTTTTCATGATTATATTTTAAGACCTAGACAGGAAGTATCACTGGAATGAAAATAATATTTTAGGATTTGGGCACTAGTTTTTCAATCCACGAGAGTCCCTGTGCATCTAAGACTCGTGTTATTCCAATGCACATTTTTGCACAGCAGGATGGAGTTTAACCTACTTTATGTATCTTCTCTTTCATCTGCCTCTTCTGTTCTATTAATGAGAGCAGTCTGATGATTTCTTTAAAAAGAAAATGCACATTTTCTGTCCGTACACATACATATTTAATGAAAGACTATCAGTAGACAGCAGTTGATTTTTTGCTCTCTTAAGGAGATATGACTCTCACGACTCAAATGTCCCCTCCCCCTCACAGATACAGATGTATTGTTATGACTGTCATCATTTGTCCCCTACCTCTTTCCCTCCTCATTCCCTTTCTCAAGAGTCTATAATATCAGTGAGCAAGCTCATCTTCTCGCCCTACTTTGAGCCTCCAACACATCAATAAATAAACCACAGTGACACTAATAGAATATCTATCCATGTGAAAAATGCCTCATTCAGCACTCAGAGTATATGAGAGAGCATGGAAGAGAAAAAAAATAATTGGAAAAAAACAACTTTTACTTTATAAAATGCTTGAGATCCAGTTTCTCACTTTTGCAGAGGAGACAGAGGAATTCACACAAATCAAACAATGCCACAGTTGATTCATGTTTTTAATATCCTCTCTGCATTGTGGAGATGTAAGGAGATGAGATAGCAGATGGAGAGAGAATTCTGTCATAAGGTGGCGATGTGTCTTGTTGAAAGGATTAAGGGCCAGAGCTGTCTATTACGTTGCATACATGAGAGGAGCAATATGTTGGAGGAGACAGGGGAGGAGAAGAGCAGCTTAAATAAATTTAAAGGCTGACCTTAAAGCACCATAAAAAAGTAAGGATGGGGTTGGAGATCAAAGAACCTGGGTCATACATTCATAATTTTAGCGCCAATCAAATCTTAATCCTTTCAAAACAAACCCTCTATTCCACTTCAAATATCGGAATTGAAGACATTTGACTGATGAAGGTAGCCTGTTTGGCACGGTAGAGAGACATTCAATATGTCAGCTCTGCTCTTTCTCAATGTTTCACTTGTCTTGGTAGGGCACAGCTGACAGTGGTGGTTGGTGCATTGAGGAATGCTGCCCTGCTTCAGCTCCAGGGAAGATTCCACAGCTCCAGCAGCAAGGTGACAGCTGCTGCCAAGAACAGTCTGCAAGCTGTGCAATGCACGGCCACTAAAGCACCTAAAAACATGGCATCACATCAAGGAGATGGGTTCTGCACCAACCTATGGTGAAGGTGCCTCTTTGATAGAACATGTTCCGAAAAAGAAAGGTGTCAGAATCAACATTAAAGGTGGCTTAGGCAGTCAAACTCGTCAATTCCGACATTATTTATTGAACCCGTGCACACAATACTTTCCCAAAGGCTATGCCACTTAATTATTGACCCTAACTGCTGCTTTTCCATATTCATAGCAAATGTAATGAGTTACAATTAATAGTGTGAAAAACCCACCTGGGCTGTAAACATGTACTGTATGTGCTAGATCTGAAATGATTAGTCAATTAATCGACAGTAAAATGAATCAGCATCTACTGTATTGTCGTTTTTTAAACATTTGCTGGTTTCAACTTGTCAAATGTGAGGATATATATATAATGATGATGGCAAATTAAACAAGGTATTTAAATACTTTTTCTGGGCTGTGGGAAACCATAACTATTTTGGGATATTTTCTAATAGTAGATAAGATGATTTAAGCACCACACAGAGTCTTGGCTCCAAAGTAAAGAAACTCTCTTCTGTATTACAATGAATTCTGCTTTGATGCTCAATTGAGATTTTTCAGATCTGGCCTGACAAGCCCATCATATGATCATACATCTACTAAAATGACATAATGCAGGATCTCATACCATCCAGGGCCAAGGGATTCAGCTCTGCGTTACTGGCCAGCCGCGAGGGCCTGAGGGCGCCATGAGCAGCCTGGGTAGCAGCCCGGAGTTTGGGGAGGGTCAGGGCCTCTCCGTGGTCTCTCAGAGAGTGCTCCTTCAGCTGGCTGATGGTCATAGAGGAGAAGGGGCAAGACAAGCACTTGTATGTGTACTGCTCACCTGGAGGGAAATCAAGAAACACAAGTCAACAACATGGCTGCTAAAGGAAATGTACTGTACAAAGGCAGTATTAGTTGAGAATCTGAAAAGACCTGTAAATGCTTTCAAGATCCTTAATAAAAAAGCGAAATAAATATAGTGACAATAAACACATCCTCCACCACAAACAAAGCTATTCCCCTCTAAGCCAATCTGTAACATACATATATGTCACTTTTAGGACTCCTCTTGGACCAATAAGCGTAATTTCGCTGGAAAAAAATATCGAGCTGCAATGTTTATTAGAAATGTCTCAAGGTATCGCACATAAACATGATCTACATTCTACTACACTCTCAAACAACTATTATTCTAGTTGACTAAGCCTTGAATGTAAACATGGATATACTCTAGTCTCACACTGCCTAAATGTTATTGAGGCACTTTTTCCATAATTGGCAAGCTTTGTGCAGGTTGATGAGCCATCCATAAAGAACAGTATTTCATATAATGCCAACAGCTAATCTCACTCACAAATTACAGTCATATATACTAAACACTTTCTGTGATTTATGCCGTTACAATATATGACTGTACTGATGCCGCGCTGGCTACTGTGTGCGTTTCTGGCAGCTTTGGTAGAGTTTTGAATGTACCCATGGGGGATTTATAGCATCTTTCTTCCTGTTGCTGTTCAATATATTTGCTTAACAACCTAATGCAAGCAGCATCCTGAGGAGAGTAACATAATCTTACCAGAAGTGGTTTAATAAGAAAAACTACTTCCTGATTGAACTATTTCTGTTAAAAACATGTTTGGAATAAAATAGCTCTGGAATGTTCAATGCATTCTCACCCCAATCCGTCAAATAACGCAGCTTGGTCAGTGCTTCCAAATTTCAAACTATGACGCTCCACGTACCGCTCTAACATTAGTTTTGGATTTGTCAGGAATATATACGTCAATACACGCTTGTTGCATGCATAGTGTCTTTTCAAAATAAACCCACATTTTCACAGGAAGTGAGGCTCAAGCAACAAAACCACTTAGTTAGGTTTAAGAAAAGAACGTCACTGAATAAAAACTTTCATTACAACCGAGTGACGAAGGACTCGCGTGACTAACGAGTGACACGACTACCAACTCATGTGACAAAATGTCAAATTTCACTTTTAGTTTTGCACGGGACATGAACAGCGGTCCCCTGGAAGAAAGTTCTGTGTTTGTTTGAACCCCCCCCCCCAACCAAAAAGTTAGTGGCAAGCCCAGTGCATCACATTCACGCACAAGGGTGCCCACGTGCATCGGTGTCAGACACTGAGGAGCACTGACCAAGCCGCGGTATTTGACGCACGGGGAGTGAGAACGAGTTGTACTGTGGGTATATCAATACAAAGTATCTTAAGCTTTTTGGACTGAAAGCAAGGACACAAATGAGAGGAACTGAGCCACAAAATATTAAAAAAAAAATGCAGATTGTTTATATCAATCAACAACATAACCAAACTCTACTTTTCAAATGTAATCGCAACACAAAATTGGTTTGTGCCAATTATCCACAGCAGCTGTCAGGCTAACTGTTTTTCCTTTTTGTTGTTCTTTCCAATCAGACAGTTAAGAGCACTCTAAAGCTTTTTGATAATTGGCCTTTCTAGTTGGCTACTTTTGAGATAGTTTCTTTTGCTCATGTATTGATTTCTGAAGTGGAGCTTTTTTTTTTACATTTGCTTGAATGTCTATGACTTTGCTGTCTGGCTCCCTCAATAACAACAAAAACCCTGATCACAGGCAAAGAACCGCATCTAACTGAAGACACCTGTCAGCATTCACATGCTGAGGGTTTCATCTCCATATTCCCAAATAAACAATATTAACAATAAATTCATCTGGGCTATTTGTGCTAAAAATCCAAATATGATTCTTTTGTATGTGCTTAATTAGGTGTATCTAATGTACTCGGTGAAGCTGCTCCTCCAGCTAGTCCATTGGTTACACTGTGCAGGATGAGCTAAATCATGCACAGCATCTTTATGTGGAAGATGATAAACAGGAGGCTGCTATTCTGACCCGGGAATACCTTGTTAGTCATGGATACAGCTGTAAGATGGGATTTGATGTGTGTGTGTTTTATTTGGTTTTTACCTGTGTGTGCCTTATGCAGGTGGCTCTTCAAGCGACTCACGTAGGCAGATTTAAAGGGGCAGAGTTTGCACTTGAAGGGCTTGTGGTGCCCGTGGTGAGACTGCACATGTCTGTCCAGACTGTTGATGAGACAAAAGGGGAGGATATGAGATAAGAGGATAAAAGATGAAAAAATTGATGGAACGAGGACAAAAGGATAGCAGATCAGGAGAGAAAGTGACAAGAATAGAGTACAGGAAAGAAAGCGAGAAAGCTCTACTCAACAGCATCCACTTTGATGATTTCAACTGCGTTTTTTCTTCTTCAGCAGCATCTAAAGTGCTCAATTCTGTTTACCTCACAAACAACAGCCGCACATTTCCAATGACTACAGAACAAGGAGCCGTGGGGTGAACTCATCTTCCCACAATCCCTTGGTGGGAGTGAACGTGTGAGCGCCTGTGGGGACAGCGGCTGTGTTTTTAATGCCAGCCTCCTAGGTGGCATGGGAATTTGGCTTCTTTCTGGGTCAGGGCACATACAGTGCAGAGGGATTACACCTGGGAGCTCAGAGGAGATGAGGACTCTCTCTTCCCCTCTCGCTCTGTGTCTCTGTGATGGATAAAACAAATCACACTACCAAAATGTCTGTCTCGCTGTAATGTTTGTCTTACTCTCCAAGGAGGCAGGACATCTTAGAAAAGATTGAGGATTCAAAGAGATCGTGAAGGGTAAACTGAATAAGGTGTAAAATAGTGCTCTGTACAAAATGAGTTTAACATCCAGTTGATTTGTAGAACAGTAAGGTATAGAAGGGATGGAGTTTAAAATGTCCTCCTACTGGGGCTATAGTATTCTATTGATGCAGTTATATATGTTCTATAATGAACTAACAATATAGTTGTTTGTGGCGGAGTCCGCCATTCCTGCACTGGATTTAAATGGCCTTCACATGCATGAGGGATTCAGAAGAAATGATGCATGCATGTAATCTAGCAACACGTTTGCTCTCCCCTCTGCCATAGCCATATCGCAACCGTGTTAAATGATTGCTAATCCAAGATGCCCTTAGTTTCATTTTCCTCTTGTGCATTTCATTCAGTACCATGTGCATACGATGCAGCAGTAAAGTTAATTTCTTTTCAACGTGTTTCTTATGCAGCCACACTGAGCTGCAGACTGCAGAGTGTTTTACGACTACCAGCACATCGTCCCATGTCATGTTGCTTTTTCATATGTCACCGGACTAATTTGCTTAATCTTTGCAAGTCTTACAACCGCAATGGAAACACAGACAACAACCTTTTTTGTTCCTTGAAAAGTAGTCCCCGTACTATTGAAAGAACTTCTTGTTGCCAAATCAACAAGGACTAAAATCTTAAGGATTACAACTTGAACTACGCTTACCAAAAAGTAAGTACGCTTACAGTCAGAATAGATCAATGTTCAACAGAGGATAAATAGATCAACACATCACACAAATTACTTACTAGAAATACGTGTTGAATTTACTCTGGGGACTCCACTGTAGAAACAGTGAAGACTCTTAGACTCTGCTCCTCTTACTTACTTGTGTCTGAAGGGTGAGACGAACTGGCAGTACTGGCAGCTGTATTTGTCTTCTCGGCTGAACAGCGCCATGGCTGAGTGGCTCCTCTCATGGGACCTCAGTCCCTGCATGGACATGAAGACTCTGTCGCACTGGACACACGGGTGACCCCCCGCTGCTAATCGCTGCTTCAGTTCGCCCTCTGACACCACGGCCCTCACTGCAGCCACAAGGGCCGCTCCCCTTCCTTCAATAACAGTAGTTTCTGGTTCCAGTGTCTCTGCGGCAACAGCACCACCAGCTGAAGCTGTGGAGACCATGGGTGGACCCATCATTGTCTCCGCGGGTCTCTCGAGGCCGTCGGTTTCAGCTGCTTCATCCCCCTCGAGGTCGCCATTAGTCAGGGTCTCTGAAGGCAGGGTCAGGGGGACTTCGCTGACTTCCTGCTGCAAAACAAAGAGGAGAAGTCTCAGATGTTCAGTAGTTGTTCATTTTGTCTGTCGCAGTCTTTTTGTTATGCGGATGGACAACCCTGCAATATAAGGAGGAAGATGAAGGGTAACAATTTTATTTGGATAGTCCAATGTTGATACTCAATCAGCTACCAGATGACAAAAAATGGCTGTTCAATGAAGTATCACTTAAAGTCTGGTGCCTCTAAGTGTTTTTCCTAAATCAGGCAAATCATGTTAACAGCACATAAGCAACAGTTAAGCATCTGTCTAACACCTCTGGTTCTGCTCTGCGCTGTATCAGTGCAATCATTTTCAGTTAGTTACAGCTCTCTCAGTCATCCTCTGTATTGTCAATTGGATCCATTTGTGCTGAAGATCAACATGTGGGTATATCATTGACCTGGAAGCCTTTCTATTTAAATCATTTTCCTGAAACAAACACCTGTCCAAAATACTTTAAGCTGCAGTCAGAGCCTGCTAATGAAAGTGTTTCTGGTCCAAGGACGAATGACTGAAAAAACCTGACTGTCAAGTCCAGTGTAGGCAAGCCTTAATAGAAACCTTGGGCCAACTCCAACCCTGACCTGACACTCTGTAGTCTGCCGGTATTTACTGACACACCACTTAGTTGATATTGAGTTGATTGCACCATCTAAATGGAATGGGACATGAAAATTTGAGTCCTACCCCTCAAATCGGTCCAGGAGCTTTATTACACATCATTCCCAACTCTCCTACCTTCTTCTTTTAAAATATATATCTCAACCGTATAACTCTAAAATATAAATGCAATTAAATTCTTCTTAACAAAGTGAATCACAATATACTGTATATAGTCCTATGATTCCTTCATAATGATTCATTGTTACTAGTTGCTATTGATGCCGGGAATGAAATGGGAGGATAAAAAACTAGTCAAACACCTAAAACAAAAGACCTTGCACATTCGCACGTCAACCAACTGCAAAACAAAACTCCTTCATCTGTTTCCTCTTCCGTCGTCTACTGGAGTGCTGGCTGGTTTCTGTAGTCATCACAAGCAGACAGAAAATCACCATGACTTTTTTATTGCCTCGAGGAAGCTCGTTCTTTCTGTGGAAGGACCTGACCCTGCACTTCATGCAGCCATAAATAAGATGTGGCATCCACAGACCCAACCTTGCCATCCAGTCTGCCCTGACTGCACTGTCAGCCTGTTTTTTTTCCGATCCAACTCTATTAGAACCATTGCAGTTCTAGAGTTGAAACTGTATTTAAGATACTATAAAAAGCAACGTTTATTTTTACCTTCTGCAATGTGTAAAACATACAATAAATTCCATCTGCTAGAGGTGTTGTAGGCCATGAATGCTTGCAGTTAACCCATAACCCTGGCATGTGCCATTAGCTTCAAAGGCTAACATTTGAGCCTATATAGTGAACATACATAAAAGTCAACGTGGCAACAGAAACACCCAATTTTTTTGTAGACCTCAGTTGCCGAAGTATGCAGTACATCTTAAATACATAAAAGACAGACCGAGTGTCTGACGGAAGAACCAGGTCTCCATTTGGGTGAGGCGTTGGATCCTTAGGCCTGTTCCCCTCACTGGCAGGCTCAGTGGAATGTATGAATGGTTACCCGCCATTGATACTACTTTAAAATGTGTACACCAAATATGAAACTACAGCTGTATGCTAAGCTAAGCTACCCAGCTGCTGGCTGTTGCTTTATATTGATGTAACGGATATGAAGAATCTTCTCATCCAACTCTCGGCAAGAAAGTATTCCTTTGATGCATTTCACAAACCAACATATGCCTTTTTTAATTTTGCCATAGATAAATATAAAATAGAAATGTGTATTTATTGTTTATATTAACCTCTTATTTTATAAAAATATGTTTAACATAGACATGCGTGCAGTTGACATGGAAACATTTCAGAGTTAATGTAACAAATCCCCAGTTAAATAAGACACTATAACAGCATAAAAGAAACTCTATTTACCTTGACATGTCCCTCTTTGACCTCTCCGTACTGGACGTGCTTCCTCAGGTGGTTGCAGATGGCACGCAGGGTGGGGTGCATCTCTATGCAGAAGTTACACCTGAATCCTATGGGAGCGTTATTTACAGGGTTTTCCTGTTAACAGAAATAGAAAAAAAGATAAAAAGAACATTTTTTTTATTCAGTTTTCATTTTCTTTTGACATATTTTAAAAACTTTTTTTTTTATTTTTTGAGACAAGGATTTTTATTATATTATATTTATATATTATTTAACCTTTTATGAAGAATAACAGTGTATAATCTAAACCAACTGATCTATTTTGCCACAGTCAGAAGATACTGCTATTTGTTCTCTGTGAGCTTTACCCTTTCTCCATGAAGTTAGAGACAATCACTCTTCTTAAATAAACATTAAGGATGAATGGTATTTTTCATCATGAAACTAACTAATCACACATTACGATCACTGCTATATATTCCCGATGACATACGTAATTGTTTATTTTATTCTGTTTGGAAAAATATGACTACTTTGAGTACAACTGCAATGGTTTTGGGCTTATAAAGTCTTGTTAAGATAAATTAACAATACTCTTAGTGGGACTTTATGTCTATTTAGAGCTGTTTTCCAAAACAATGGGAGCCCATTACTCAACGGACTCAAAGAACAGCTGTACCATGACAGCTGTAGTATCTTAAAGCATCAGAAGAGTTATAGTAGAGTTATTGTATGCTGTCAGATATTAATGGTAAAAAGGAAAATTAAATAATGCCCGTCTTATTCTTTCATATTCTTTCAAGACTCGTATCTCTGCTCACCTTCTCAGGTTTGGTCTCTGGAAGTTCTGCGGCTTTCTGTTTGCTGAGCAGCTGCCTCCTCCTCTCCTGCCTCATGGCCCTCTTCTGAAACTCCTCATTGTGGTTCAACAGATGTTTCGCCAGAATTGGGAGAGCCTGGAACTTCAGCTCACAGTGAGTACACTTGTACAACTCGGAGTCCTCCTCCTCAGGTCCGGGCGCTACCACGAAGTCTCTCTTCAAGTCATTGCTGTGGTGATCGTTGTAGTGCATAGAGAGCAGCTCGCCTGTGCTGAAGGACAACTGGAAGCATTTTAGACACTTAAATGGCAGCCATTCGACCTCTCTGTCCGGCTCGGGTTCAAGCTGAACCTCCAACACTTCCTTGTCATCCTCTGCCATTGTACTGACAGCAATCTTTTCAGGTTCTTTGGCATAGACGACGGTAAAGTAGCGACCAAGCTTGCTACCGTGCTGCTTCTTGGGGAAGACACCTGGGTGGCGTTTGATGTAGTGTGACACAATGCTCTTCCTGCTGAAGGCCTGGAAGGCGCAAAGAGAACACCTTCGTCTCTCCACAGCCAAACGCAAGTCTTCGCTCATTTCTGAATTTTCCCCTTCTGGCGGCGGGGGTGCTATCACTTTGGCAGGCGTTTCGGTCATAGTCTTGGAAGCAGCCAGACAATGGGTGTAATAGGCATCAATATCATGCCGCTTCTGGTAGTGCGCTGCCAGACCTTTGCGTATAGGGTTTGTGTATGCACACAGAGCACATTTGAAGACATTGTTTTTACCCTCTGGCTGAGCACGGACGTTGTTGTGCTTGATACGGTAGTGACGAGCGATGCCTTTCCTGGTGGAGCAGAAGTATTTGCAGAGCTGACAATTGAATATAGCATGTTTCTCAGTCTTATTGATAGGTAACTGGGAGAGGGCAAGGTCCAATTCACTGACCTCCTGGACTTTTGCTGCGCTTGATATATTACCAGCACTGCATTCAGCTACTGGCTCTGATTCTTTACCGGTGGAGAAATATGTCAGAGAGGGAGCGAACATTTCAGAGGCCGACTGATTGTGATATTTCTCGTAATGGATTTTGAGTTTCTCCAGTGTCCCATGCGTGTAGGGGCAGATTTTGCATCTGTATGCGCCGTAGCCTTGCCTTTGAGTTTTGCACTTGTCATCTCCTTCATTTGGGTCAGGGATTTGCTCGATGTCATCTGCAAAGTCTTCTGCAGTGACTTTCACCAATGGGTGTCTCTTCTGATAGTGAGTTAGGACACCGTGGATTCGGGAGTTTACATACGGACAGTGACGACATTTATACACAGAACTGGGGTTGATGTCTGCCTCCTGTGCAAAATCTGCAGCTTTTACTTTCATACCCGGGTGCTTCTTTCCATAATGGGTGAGGAGGCCATGGAGACTGTTGTACTCTGACAGACATACAGTGCACTGATAGGGATTGTTTGAGATGGAAAGACGTGGGTGGGTAGGATGGGGATTGCTTTCTTGAGGTGTGGTGACCATGACCTGTCCTCCATCATCTTCAACAGATTGGCAATTGAAAGACACATGTTCTTTGGCAACCGCCTGGTGTATATTTTCAGGTGGGCCATTTCCTTTGATAATATCCAAAAGCACAGATTCATCCCCTTTAATGGCCCATGGGTGCACTACCTGATAGTGACTAGTGATGTCCCATATTGTACAGGCCTCAAAGGCACAGTCTCTGCATTTGTAATGTTTAGTTTCCATATTGCCCCCTTGTTGAGTAGTCTCCGGTCCAGCCCATAGCTTGCTGGCCATGTATGTGTAATCAACATTGTGTTCAGGGTGACGTCTTTGGTAATGGAGCAGCAGGCCTTGGGGTTCAGCGTGGGAGTAAATACACCACTCACAGTGGTAGCCAGCCTCCAGAATGCCATCTTGGTAGGCCCAGTGTAAAATGGTCATGGCTGTGGCTTTCACAGTGGGGTGCTCTTTCTTCAGATGCTTCTTTAGGGCATAGACGTAGGGGGATATATATGAACAGTGTCTGCACTTCAGTGAGCGCAAAGGTGTAGTGTTTTCAGGGTCTGGAGGAGCTGGGATCAAGGCAGAAGAGACACTGCTCGACTGAACCATCTGTGCACGCTCGCGCTGACTCCGGACAACTGCAGTGTGACGACGTACAAGGTCAGCGTTGGCCTTGGTTTCCTTGTGCTTCTTCTGGTAATGAATAAGCACTCCTTTTACAGTGCGATTGCCATAATCACAGTGCTGACAAAAAAACAGCTCATCCTCTCCTTTATCGCCACCTCCAGGTTTAGGGCTCGTGTTGTTAGATCCATCGTGACCGTTATTTTGAAACTGCTTCAAAAACTGTTTGGGAGCCGCAATTTGCAATTCATCCATTAATTTCATCAAACCGGGAGTGGGAGCGCCATGTTTGATATATTTTGCCGTCACTTTTACTTCCGGGTGTCTCTTTTGATAATGGACTAACACACCAACAACAGATCTGTTGCTGTACACGCAATGTTTACAGTAGTACATTTCTTCATCTGATCCATACAGTGCTGCGCTTGGTTGTTTTGGAGGCGTAGCCATGTTGAGATTATACGAAGAGTTTGCAACAGGCTGCGATTGATCCACTGAGATGACCTTCATGGTTTTCTGTATACGGAAATAAGATGCCTTTTGCTCTGGATGTTTCTTCTGATAGTGGACCAACACAGAGTGCATGTTGGGGCTAGCAAAAGAACACACATCACAATCATACACAACAACATTGCTACCCATAGGTTCTTTGAGAGGGTCTGCCTCAGCACTGGCTTCAGGGGTCTTGGAGACCGTTTTCGGCACTGGGCTGGAGGAGGACCTTGGGGTTGACGTGGCTGAGTTCAAATTCTTGGGGCCAGAGTTTAATATTTCCCTCAGGGTTTGCGATTCACCCGTTTTGTGAGACTGCTCCACTACATAGCTGGAGAAGATCATTGCATTGTTGATTTTCACTGTTGGGTGCATTCTTTGGTAGTGGGGCATTAGGCTCCTGACATTGGGGCTTGTGTATGAACAAAAGCGGCACATGTACACCAGATCTGGTTGGTTGAAGTTGAGCACATTGCTTGCTTCAGGGTGGTGATCCATGTAGTGTTGATGCAAATCATTGTAATTTGTGTATTCAATGTAACACTCTAAGCAGCGGAAGACCGCACTCTGGTCCTCGGAGTCCAGGATGTACTTAAAGCTGAACTTGATGTAAGGGTGCATCCTCTGGTAATGGGTGCTGACGCTACGAGCTGATTTGTTGTGGTAATCACAGTGTTTGCAGTAGAATCGTGTAGTTCCTGGATCCTCTGAATAATCAGCATTCTCTTGGATAGCACCGTCACTGGGGTCAGCAGAGATGTTTTCGCTATCATCTGAGAGAGTCATTGATATAGGAATGTTTCTAGGTTTTGACTTAGGGTTGCTTTTTCTTTTCCCTATTCGGCCTTCCTTGTTAGAGATCATCGAATCACTTGCATGAAGCTGTTGTGTGTTATAAGTGAAGACAGGGTTTTTATTGTCATGGTTTCTACCCTCTTTATCAGCACTAGTGTGATTTTCTCCTGCATCTACATCATCCATGTCATCTAGGTTTATGATCATGTCCTGTTGGCTTTGGCTTATCTTACTTTGAAGGTTACTGGCAATTTCATCAATTCTAGTTCTCTTCTTAACCGAGGACAAATCCAAAGGCAAGTCATTAATGGACTTCCTGGCTCTTTTCCCTGTTACTAAGGGCTTTTTGGTGGCAAGTCCTAAAATCGAGGTCTGGGTTTTTTGTAGAAAGATTGGAGAAGCGTCCGCTTCAGAGTCCTGCTGGTCAGTCTGCTGGCTTTCAAAGACAGTGGGATCTAGGTCATCACAGTAGGAATGCTTATGCTGCTGGTGAACCCTCAGACCTTTCAGAGTGGTGGTAGAGAAGCTGCAAAGTGTGCAGCGATGAGGGTTTTGCTGGTCGTTCGGTGTGCTGGTTATCTTTTTTCCATTGACTTTGGAACTTACATTAACTGGCTCTGCAGCATTGTCATTGTGAGAGTCTAGACTATCACTTGTTAGGTCCATGGTGTCTAAATCTGAAGATATGTGGCTCTGTTTGTGCGTGCCTAGTTTAAGAGGGCTGGTGCAAATAAACGGGCATTCATCACATTTATACACTGTAGTTTTACCAGAAAGGTGAATGTTTTCAATGTGCCGGGAGATGCTTCGCCTATGCATGGTGAGGAAGCAACAGAAAGGGCACTGAAAACGGTTCATGTACTTTCTAAATGGTATTCCTTTAGTCTCCAGTAATTTATTGTCCTCATCAGTTAAAAGCTGCTTTGCATCTGCTGACAGGGTCCCAGTATAGCTGGGATCATCTATATCGCCCAAGTCTTCTTCATCATCATTCTCTAAGCTGCTCTTAGAGTCTTCTTCATTGAGTAAGTTGGCATCCGCCTCTACGACACTTTTGGAGACGTCAGATGACGCAAACCTCTTGGACAAAATGGAGGAACCTGTGCTGTTGGGTGTTACTGCATACTGAAAGGACGTCATGTCTGGGACTGACTCCTCGGACGTGTTTTCTACTGTTTTTCCTTCTGGCTCTTCCTTTCCTTGAACCTCAGTGAAACCCATCTTTGATCTATTCTGGCTTCGGGAAGAGGAGGGAGAATCTGGTTTGGGTGAGCTTGCACTTGCCTCTCCTTCCAGCTCCTCAATGCAGGAAACTATCTTGACCTTGTCACTGTGTTCCTTCACTACGTGATTAGTCCAGCTGTCCTTCTGGTCAGTCTGATAGTCACACCATTCACAGGCAAATGTTCCCTTCATGAGTCCACCGGCTGAGTCCGATTCCTCTCTGGTCTCATCGTATTCTGAAGGATCTCCAGCGCTCTCTGCGGGAACCTTACTGTGATACATTAGTAGGTGTTTCAATATTCTTGCTTTGCGTGGAGACTTATACGTGCAATACTGACAGGAATACACTTTTGAATTGTCACTATGCATAATAATGGTGTAGCTGGGCTGCTCGGCGCTCTGTGAGGAGATACTTGCATCAGAATCTTCCTCTTCAGCATTATGCACTTTTTTGGTGTGGTTTCTTAAGAATGACTTCGATCTGAAGTAACGGACACAGAACTTGCACTGGTAAAACGGCAGGAGGCTTTCAGCTGTCTGCTTTTGTGGTGTTTGCTTGGAATTGTCAGTAGTATTGGGGCCTAAAATAGATGAGAAAGTAGGTGAGATGTCTGATGGAAAGTAAATGAGTAACATTTTGTAATTATTTTAACATTCTGTTGTTTCAGTCAGTAAAACCAGCATCAACTCATACATGTTATGCTCCTCAATAAAACATAAAAACATCCTACTATGAAGAGTTATATGAAACAAACAGAAATAATCCTCCACAAATGAAACTGTAACATCCGATTTGATGTGGTGGACATACTTATTCCAGCTTTAGGAGTTGAATAATCCCGGTCATCCGTGTCATCGTATTCCACTGCTTCCTCCTCATCTTCGTCCTCATCTTTCAGAGAGTCAGACTCATCTGCATCTGCAGGCTGCAGGAAAACCGTGTGCACTTCCTGAATGTGGGTCTTCAAGTCATCATATGACTCGGCACGGAAGTCACAGCCGTCACACTGCAATACCTCCATCACTGAAAAAAGGGAGAACTCCCTGGAAAATCAGGGAAACCTGCAAAGAAAAATAAAGAGAAAAACTCCTGAGGACATGCAGTATTTCCCAATGAGTACACAGCAGAATACATGTCTAATTAAGGGAGTGGGATTGAAAATAAAAGTAATTTATGTTAAAATATTCATAGGAGCCATTTACAGTGCACGTAAAGGGGTATTTACTTTGCTATGGAGACTCATATGTACAGAGCTATTACAAAGCAGGAATAATACTTTTCCGTAATGCTTCAATATTTAGGGTAGCGAACATACCCTTCCATAAAAATGAGCTTGGTGATGATCTAAGATGATTACCAATGGCAATTCCTGCTGTGAGCAAATAATAATCAAGTACAGGATGTAAGATGCACGTTTTCCACATAACAAGTAAGACAATGGCAGGCAGCTTTTAAATGATCATGTGTTCAAAATACAGCCTTCTGATCTGCTAGATTCATAGAAGCTCTTTAAGTTGTATTTCTAAGAATTTGTGACAAAGTGAAGCACGTTGTCGGAACTTTTCCACTGGAGGGACACATGTTTTTTCACTGTCTGTAATTTCAATTAGGATAATAAAAAAATAAAAAATAATAATAATATGCGGGAATGGTGAGATGGTAAGATAAAAGCTGAAATTCTAATAAACCATTATGATCCTTCAAGTCTACATGAAATATGCCACTGAAGTACTGCAAAAAGTAATAGTCTCAAAAATGTAATAAAGAAGACACATTTGTTCATTTATGCAAAACAGCAAAACATTCTGTTGTGTCTTTATGAAGACAAAACCACACGGATACAGAGTCACAAATTCATATAAAAATTAAATCATTTTCAATCTCTTAAACGACTGAAGCTGTCCACAAAAGGTGATAGAAAGCCTGATGTTACTCGGAATACTAAGAAGGTCAAATTTTTGAGCATAGCATCATTCTAAGAACAATGGAGGGACTGAGGAGGGATTATGGGCTGATTTGTCCCATTTTTATTACCTTGGGATAAGCAACAGCTGGAGAGCAGCTCCACAGCTCAGTATTTAGAGCAGACTATTCCATCAGATTGTATCAACTGCTCTGAAATAAGATTGAATGAATCAACGGAGAGATGAAGGCTTTATGTCTTTGGGCTTCTCTGCCGTTTGGACTTGGACAGAAAAATGGAAATTGATGATGTGGCCATCATTTCACAGCTGTTTCATCAACGCTTTCTATTGTCATATTGTCACGCAAACCATATAATATCACAAATAGCATTTGTAGCTCACACAGGTTCTGAGATAAGTAGTTAAAGGGTACACTTTACCATTTTTTACTATGTTGCTAATTTCGGTGAACACATTATGTTTACACAATAGGTGCGTACCATGGTGCAGGCCATTACTTTGGAGGGGGAAAAAAATCAATATTTTATTTCTCAAACACCACGAGTTAAATGTAAATCTAACCTAAGGAACTTAAGCGTCCATTTATTTAATTTTCTTTCAGAGGAATTGAATCAACCCCTCACTGTTGTGAGTTCTACAAAGCTGATATTTATAACAAGGTTCCCATTCATATCCAAACGGCTTATGGCCCATGCACGAAGATGCAACTAACGTGGGGGATCTGTAATGGTATGGGTATGGCTATGTAGTGGGAAACATTGGGTCTGTTGATTGCTCTCCATAGATACATTATGGCCTGACAGTATGAGGTCATTTTACATGGCCAAGTACACCCTGTGGTACTAATAAATGTTTCCACATGTCAAAATGATTATATCCCCAAACCACTAAATGCGTTCAAAAGTGCTTCTATGAACACTTTGGACACCTTCCGGGTGTGAACATATTTGAACCTAAGATTCTGAATGCAGAATGGCCATTCTCTTCATTACTCTCTTATATTGGCAGGTGTTTTCTTTTTTTTGTCCACTCCTGCATCTCAATGCCAGCTCGAGAAAAACAACATTGTATACACTGCACAACAATTGAGAACAGAAGCTGCAGTATATAACGACTTTTTATGTGTTTCTCCTTTGTGTACTGACAAAGTAATAAACCTATTGTTTTTTTTGAGATACTCTTTCTCTATGTGTTGCCTTTAGCTTGACGATATAGAGTGATGGCAGAACATCACACATTATGGTCCATAGTATTGAAAACACATTTTCTTGAAAGCTGAGAGCCACTTCTTTGAGTGCTTTTATATTTACAACACATATTCATTTGTGTATTCTATTAGGCAAAGACAGAAATGTTTTGCATATATTCAAACAGGATTGATGGTGCACACTGCCAGCATGACCCTTTGTGGATCCATTGTTCTTAATGAAACACGTCTACATTAATCCTATTTCAGCAGAAGCATCAGTTCTCCTTATATTCTTGTTGAAATGCCAGAAGATGATCCATCAATGGCTGATACAATAATATATCAATATCATTCTACAGCATGATCATAATCAACATTTTCTGCTTTCAATAAGTTACATTCATACAACAGCAGCATTATCAAGCTGCTATAGAGTGAGAGTGGCATAAATACAGCACCGCTATGTGTTTTTCATGAGGGCATTGAGTTTTATAGAGAACACATTTATTTTATTCAGCCTGATGTTGCATTTATACATTTAGTAAAATTCAGTTTACTGGATGTAATAATTACATTTTATTATATTATCTCAAATGGAGTAAGCAGGCCAATAAATGTAAAAGTAAATGGTTGTGATCTAAGAGGAAATATGATACACCATAAAGGCCATTTGTTTTTCATTGGCCCTATAGATTTTTCAGTTTGTCTGCAAAAGAGATTTTTTTTTTTAAGTTAATGTGACGCAAATACAGACACTGCCTTTCTAAAATTAAGGTAGAGCTGAGCTGAATTTACACGTGAAGTCTTTCTACAGGTTTTGGAGAGCACTACTGCATA